CGGTGCGCTGATCGCTCCGCCCCCTTGTTAATTAGCATAGGAAGGCGTTGCAGCCATCGGAAAACTCTCTAATATTTCGTTCATGCTTCTTCAGTTGGTTGCAATTTGGATAACAGTAGGTTTTGAAATCCCGATTGAATTAAAAATCAGTTTTCAGATCTTTTTCGTTATAAATTAGTTCGCAAGCTCTTTTCAATGTATTTCAGTTAACTGTTCCTAGTAGGTTTATCCAAATTAATTCTTCATTGTAAGCATGAGGAAATTCTTTCATGCTTGAAAAAGTGTTTTTTTTATTCACTTCTGTTACTATATTGAATTTTCTTTATTGTGCACTCTCAAGTTTAGTTCAAATAGAAGTCAGCTTATCGAGAAATATTATTATCATTGCTGAAATAACCAACACGATTATCTCTTTTATCGAAAAGTAAGTTTTAAAACCCTAATTCAAAACAAGCATAATAGGCGAATTCAAGCAAACTAATTTCAATAACTTGTGTACATCATTACATGTGGTAATGATTCGCACAATCAGATATCACTCGTTTTGCAATATGAGGTAATAACACATACACAAAAACTTTTCCAGATTTCAGGAAAAGGAAAATCACACTGCACTTATATTTTTTTTCGAGTCTGTGAATAGTAAAGATTCACCCCAGCTTGCACAAGCTTATAACTCACTATCAGAAGTTGCTTTCACTTGACTAGGGAACATGGCCATGAACCAGTGCTAGAGCTGTACTGCAAAGAACTCGTCCATCTTGCGATAGGCGGGGCTAACAGTGCGCACCTTATTAACACACGCCTGCCTAAGCGAGGGCTATCGTTCATAAAGTCCGCCACCCCTTTTTATGGCGTTCTCCGGCCTTGAAGATTGCTGAGGAGACTGGAGCGAAGATTCTTGCAATCGAGTGCGGTTGGCTGCATGGGCCAACTCAGACAGTCGAAGGGATACCTCCGGCGGCCAAATGGCGTGAGTCTGCCACTTCGCGCTCTGGAGCGCTCCGGAGCCCTGCCATTTCATTCTGGTGCTCCGGAGCTCTCCCAAAAGTGAAGCACCTCTGGAGCAGAGATTTGCGCGTCCCGGAGAAGGGTCCCATTCGTTCACCGTGACGTCACCGTGACGTCACGGTGACGTCACAAGCAGGCGAATGGGACCCCTTTCCGGGAGCGCAAATCTCTGCTCCGGAGGTGCGCCACTTTTGGGAGAGCCCCGGAGCACCAGAATGTGTGAAATGGCAGGGCTCCGGAGCCCTCCGGAGCGCGAAGTGGCAGACTCGCGCCATTTGTCCGCCGGAGGTATCCCTTTGACTGTCTAAGAATCAGCCAATTGCAGCCAAAATCAGTGGTGTTATGGTCTCCTGCAGCCAGTCATTGTTTTTGGCGGGATTCTCCGCTCCAGCCTTCTCAGCAATCTCCAGGGCCGGAAAACGCCATAAGAAGCTCTTTTTTGACTTGCACAGTTCTGGTCTAAACGCATCCGGAAGGCCAAGGAGGAATAGAAAGCGCGCAGTTGCGATTTTTCTGAGCCACTGCCTTTGACCAGTATTGCGAACCTGGCTCATCAGGGTAAATTTAACCCTAGCATCAAGCGAGGTCAAACCTACCTTGACATTTCGTACGAACATAAAATGATCTCTCGATACACCATTCAGTCTCAGCGATACTGTTTTGACAGCAAACACATATTTCCAATTATTAGTATATCAAGTTTCCTAAGTCTTCTTCTCGTCTAATTATATTACAAAACTAGAACATATATTTTTTTAGCATTTTGTTGCTGAGCTTCAAGTTTATCTATTTGAGCTACGATAGCTTAATCATATATCAAATCACCTATTTACTAAAACGAATACATTGATGGACTAAAATCGAACGAGGAAGTTCCAGATTAGGAATTTTCTCGAGCTGTTGAGCTTGATGTTCGAAATATCAAAGTCCTTAGTCGGACGCGTTTATTCAAAACTAAATCTTTTACTATAACAACACGGCCAAATATAATACCGGATGATAACATCAAACGAAAACACGAAAAGAGTCCATAGGAAGTTTGAGATGGTAGCGACCGTAAGTATGTGTTTATTGTTAAACACTATGGCCAGGACCGAGCAATGCATCGAGAGATCACTTGATGTTTGTACAAAGTGTTAGAGTGAATCTAACCTTGCTTTATGCTAGAGTTAAAACTACCGTGATGCACGTTCGTGAATACGGGTTAACGCCCTCTGCCGCCAACCCCGCGAAAATGGGTCGCGAAATTTCTGAAAGTTATTTACATGCGTTATAAAAATGCGCAAGTGACCTGTTTATACTTGTAATTGATTAAAATATTTATTCAAAATTCATCTCGGGGGCGTGGCGTGGGCCATGCCCACGCCCCCTTTTTCTGGAATTTCGAGGTCGTGGACCCGCAAAAATTTTAGGAAGCTTACCAAAAAGATTTTCAGTGCTTTACGAGAAAGAATTTTTTGTCGCCCCAAACCCCCTTCCCGAACGAAAATCCTGTACGCCACCTTAATTTATCCCAAGTTTCGTTGATCGAAACGGGTGAATCGCTTTCCGGGGTAAATCCTGTCTTACCCTCAAGAGTTCGTTGAGGAATGCGGCCACTGTTAAAGGCAGCATCCACTCAAAATTTTGCCTTCCATGTTTTTGCCATTCCGGGGCCTTTCCTTGGCCCTGATTACAGTTATGAAGTTCAAATAGTCCAACACCCTCAAACAGCCCGATTCCTGAGGACCCTGTCTTGAGGGGGCGGGCGCTTTCAGTACATGGAAGGGCGGAGTGTGATAGGATCTGGGCGGGGCCTGAAAGCACTTTGGCTGTTCCAGGCCCTTTATCTCTGTTCAAAAACAACATTAAAGGCAGCGTCCAGGCAGATCTGGACCTATGGGGCTTTTACGTGGAAAGTACTTTTGGGGCCCTAACTAAGGCATTGCCCAAGCGGCAGCTCATGTAGTGCTGTAACGGCTGAGATATTCCCCTCGAAACTGGACCCCGCGACCGTGTTTCGCATGCATTCATGGTGCAAAGCGTGGATCCTGGCGCGAAACTGCCATGAATCCATGCGAATACGATCGCGGGGACCAGTTTCGAGGGGAATATCTCAGCCATTAGAGCACTACCTGAGCTGCCGCTTGGGCAGTGCCTTAGTTAGGGCCCCAAAAGTACTTTCCACGTAAAAGCCCCATAGGTCCAGATCTGCCTGGACACTGCCTTTAAAGGCAGTGTCCGTATCATCGTCCCGATGATACCTCTACCCCCGCCGCGACCCCAGGTCACGCCTGAATAGGCGTGGCCCAAGACATCCGCCCTTTTACCACTCGTACACTTGACCAAGCTCTTGTATACACGCTCTTGCTACTCGCTGTAATCTTGTTAATAAACCTGAACCACCGTCTTTTCCACTTGTATTCGCGTTACGGGCAAAACCGCCCAAGAGTCTCTAGTACCCGCAATAGCTTGGTGCATCGGCCAAAGTTGCCACTTACTCCCGCATCTCAGAGTGACATCTGTGTTAGCCAGGAGTCGAGACTAGCTGCTAAGCAACCATACGGCACAAATAAAGCCGTAAATCTTCATCCCGAAAAGAAACAAAAAGGGAAGGAGTCGCCCAGATAACAAACAAACGGGCGTAGTCAGCAAAATAGCTCTGACAGACCGCTGCAATTCAATTTAAGCGGAAGATCTGAACATAAATCGCTAAGTTGAGATCATAATGGCACTTCATTTCCACAAGACGCCCATCATTCTTAGCGCAACCACCTTGAAGACACTAGTATCAAGGTACAGCGAGTACAGCAAAGCAGTAAGCTACCCTACGGTAGATGAAGAAAACTACCAGAAATGCAGGTCAACAATCGCGCTTTTGCAAAGTAGCATCAAACAACTGAAGGAAGCAAGAGAGAGTCTTCAAATGCTTTACAATGAGATTCGCGAAGAATACAAGAACTGTAAAAGCAAAACAGACAAAAAAGAGTTGATGATAGAAATTGAGCAGATAGAAGAAGAATCTAAGCTGCAAGCCGCGATTGCTGAAGCTAATGACTTGGTCTATGTGATTACAGCACGACTGGACGAGTCCAAAAGCATTAGAGAAAATATGGAAATTAAGTTGGGATACTCGGCAATCAGAATGCAGAGAGATGAAAGCCTAGACAGCAGAGAACACGACGCTGAAGGCATACACAACGAAGATCCAGAACAAAATGGTCTTCAAAACGAGATAAGTCCAGTATCATCCCAACCTGGTCTTCACGACGAGGCAAGTCCAATCTCAACACAGCCCTCAGTAACAGATCCAAATCCCGAGTTTCCAATTAGGAGGACAAACAGACCAATAAAACCTCCACAAATTTCATTACCAAAGTTTTACGGGGATCCAGAAGATTTTTCAGAATTCTGGTCCGTATTCGAAACTCTAGTTCACAACAACCACGAAATCGATGTGATGGAGAAAATTCTCCATTTGATGGAATGCCTGAAGGGTAAAGCACACACAGCCATCAAAGGAATCAAACTAGTTCCAGAAAACTACGATTGGCTCATAAAAACCCTCAAGGAAACCTTTTGCAATCACCCAACGAACAGATCGCAAATTGTACAGAAGCTAGTCAATATGAAGGCAGCAGTAAATACAGCAGAATCCTGTACCCACACATTCGCTCAAATCCGAATGCTAACCAATCAAATGATTTCCGCAGGCTACAACGTAAGTAGCACTTGCGATCCCATGTGGGGGGAAACAATTCTGTCTAAATTCCCACAGGATATTGTCCGATCAGTCTTGATAGCCAGTCGGTCACATGAAAAACAGACAATAGATGACCTCATGGGCATACTTAAAACAGAAGTAGCCGCCAAAGCATACGTGGAAAACAGATTAGGCCACCAGACCACCAATAAGGTCACTCAATCAAAAATAAGACCTATCAATCCACGACCCAATCAAGACGCAGGGTGTATATTCTGCCAGAAGGGCAATCATCCATCCCTTTACTGTCGAACAGTAACTGAGCAAAGTACCCGACGAAAAATTCTGAAGGAACAAAACCGCTGCTGGAAATGCTGCTCTTCTAGACACAATAGTTTCGATTGCCAAAATACAGACTGCAGCCTTTGCGGTCAAAAGCATCATATTAGTTTGTGCTACAAAAAAGATGAGCCTCGCAGTAACCCCACGCTTGATAGCAGGCCGAGAATTACAAACGCAAATCAAAATAACTACAAAAACGATAGAAATCGCAATTCCGACCAACGAAATAACTATAAACGTGAAAAACAGAGAATGGGTCAACCAAACACGCAAATGTTCGCAGAAACACAAAGCAACAGCGTAGAAGTCGTTAACAACAATTCCACAAATAAACAACTTATATTAATGACGGCTGAAGGCAACGTATGGAATAACAATACACAGGTTTTCGAAAAAGTTCTTTTCTTCTTCGATTCCGGAGCTCAGAAAACTGTAATACAAGAAAGCCTTGCCAATCGCCTCGGTTTAAAGAAACATACCACTGAGCTGTGCACTATGTCCGGCATTGGCGGTCACATAGAATGCTTTCAAAGCCACACAGTTCCAGTGACACTTGGCACCGCATATGGAGAAGAGGTGAACATAACAGTCCAAACGAAACCTGTAATCACAAACGGTTTTCCATCAGTCAAACTAGATCCTAGCGACATAGACTTTCTGAAATCCAACAGCATTTGCCTGGCGAACTCAAAAATTCGAGGGGAACACCAAACCCCGCATATACTGGTGGGTCTTGACTATTACCATGAACTGGTGATTGACCCTGCGCACGGTATAAAAACTCCCAGCGGACTCCACATAGCAAAGACAATCTTTGGGCCAACAGTTTATGGTCGCGGTATCGCCAGAAACACCGTCCCTGACACAATGTCTCACAGTCTCACTGCCATACACACTGAAACTGAGCAGGAGATTCTACAAAAACTGTTTGAACTTGATGGGCTCGGGATAGCGCCAGACGAGTGCCAAGTAGAGGAGAAAGTGCAAAGATATTTTGAAGATTACAAGAACAAAATCTCCTTTGAGAACAACGTGATCACAGCTCCGTTTCCATTGAAGGAAAATGTGGCAACCCTAGAGGATAACTATACAGTTGCAATAAAAAGACTACAAAGCACACAACAACAGCTGCAAAGAAATCCTCATCAAAAACAGTGGTACTGTGACATCATTCAAAAATATCTAACAGAAGGAATTATCGAAACATTTCAATCACCTGATCCGAACGCCGCCGGCGTCTACTACATGCCCCACTCCGGAGTATGGAAACCAGAGAAAAACGTTCCATTAAGAATTGTCTTCGACGCCTCCTCAAGCAAAAAAGGGCAACTCTCTCTCAACGATGTAATCCATAAAGGAGAGTCATTCATCAAAAAGATACATGACATCCTCATTTCCACACGATTCAAAAACATCATTCTCATGTGCGACATCGAAGCCGCGTTTACACAAATCCGTTTAGTCAATTCGCACAAGGACCTCTGTAGATTCCTTTGGCTCAAAAATGTTAGCCACCCACCTACCAGAGACAACATAGTCGAGTTTAGATTCAAAAGGCTGCCATTTGGCATTACCGCCTCACCGAGTATATTGAACATGGCCATTGTAACCTACCTATCGTTACAAAACTCTGCCCTAGCTAAAGAAATCTCAGATAATCTCTACGTTGATAACATTTTACTACAAGCAGAGACAGTCGATGAGGCCGTAGCTAAATACACTTTATCAAAAAAGTTATTTCAAAGTATTGGCATGAACCTACGCGAATACATATCCAACTCAAAACACGTCAATGACCTAATCCCAGAATCGGATAGGTTACCAAATCCCCGTATCAAATTTTTAGGTGTGAACTTTGATACTAAAGTCGACGAATTCATCGTCGAAACAAAATTTCCCAATAAACTACCGATAACCAAGCGAGACGTAGTAAGCCAAATAAATTCCATATTTGATCCTATAGGGTTAGCGGGACCCCTGATCGTCAAACTAAAAGTGATAATGAGAAAAGTTTTCAACATGAACATTGACTGGAAAACTCCTCTACCCGAAAAATTAGGCACAGAGTGGATTAAACTCTGCAAAGAAGTCAATTTGGCCAAAATATCAATAAAAAGATGCTTGACCGTCCCGCACACCGAACAGAGGCGTCTTTGGGTTTTTTCTGACGCCAGCACCGAAGCGATCGCTTCTTGCGCGTACATTCAGTACCTGGCCTCAAATAGAACATCAGAACTGATCAGCGGCAAAACTAAACTTACTCCCAAAAAATGCAAACAAACAATCCCCAGATTGGAGCTACTTGGAATACTGATTGGAAGTAGATTAGGAAACAACATCATCTCAGCCGCCTCAGTACCCATTATGGAATTGAATATAGTTTCTGACAGCGAGATTGCCCTTTTCTGGGTCAAATCCACAAAGAAATTGCCAATATTTGTCAGCAATCAGCGAGAGAAAATCATGAAAATCAAAAAACAACTAGAATCTCATGGCATAACCACAAATTTCCTTCATGTCACTACTGACCACAATCCGGCTGACGCAGGAACCAGAGGATTGACAGCTGCAGAAATAGCCAGTCACGATTGGGTCAATGGTCCTCGCTGGCTCCAGCAGCATCCTGACGAATGGCCAATTAAATCCATCGAAACCCTCACATGTCACGATACGGATGAACCTAGTGTAGTTATTACAGCTGCATTGGAAGATACAAGCGGAAAAACTACAATTGAGCAGTTTTTGGATCTAACGCGATTTTCCAAGCTAGACACAGCACTAAGAGTTGTAGCAACAGTAGCTAAGGCTCTGCAGATATGGGCAGAAAAAACCAACAACTCAAGACACACGAACATTATACTCGAGAATAAATACAAGTTTGAATGCAAATCCAACATTAGTGCAAGCGATATAGCTGCATCAGAACAAATTTTGTTAGCACACGAGCACAAAAACATCGACTTGAATACCCTACAGAAGCGTTTTCGAGACAAACAAATCATACGCGATTCTAATGGGATAGTACGCCATTTTTCGAGACTACAAAATGCACCTATCCCGAAAGACACCAAGTCGCCCATATACATACCCGAGGATTCGCATTTGGCAAGACTGATCGTGCTTGATATACACAACAAAAACGGGCACTGTGGCAAAGAGCACACCTTTTCCATTGCAAGGCAGCGCTTTTGGATCCCGAAGCCATCGAAACTACACCGCAAATTTATCAAGAATTGTGTTACCTGTAAAAAATACCAAGGACTGCCATTCGGAGCGCCCGCCATGCCCCCACTACCCAAAGACAGGGTAACAACTTCTAGACCATTTGAGAATGTGGGGTGCGATTTTATGGGACCCTTCACATCCAGGACGCTTGAGAAAATGTATGTATGCCTATATACCTGCCTCACAACTAGAGCAGTACACCTTGAAGTGGTTGAAAACATGTCCGCCGGTGCATTTTTGAACTGTTTTGTGAGATTTATATCACGCAGAGGCGTACCAAAATTAGTTCGCACCGATTGCGGAACAAATTTCAAACTCGGACAACACATCATTGAGAAAATGTTTGCTGAAAATGACAGCTCGGGCCAATCATTAATGTCATATTGCGCCAACGAAAGGATCACATGGCTCTTTAACCCCCCAGGGGCTCCTTGGATGGGTGGTGCATGGGAAAGATTAGTAGGTCTCACAAAAAAGGCGTTCTACAAATCTATTGGCCGAAAACGCCTAAGCTTCACAGAGATGTGCACCATCACGTGCCGCATCGAAGCCATTCTGAATACGAGACCTCTAACAAAATTAAATGCCAGTGACTTGACAGAAATCCCTCTGAGGCCGATCGATTTTCTCAGAGGCAACTTCCGGTTTTCATTACCAAATGACGAATGTATAGATACCAACGCAGACGTAAATTACGACCCCGACCTTATACAATCAGAAAGGCAAGCTATTGAAGCCTACGAGGCCTCAGAAGCTGTAACCAACATGTTTTGGGAGAGATGGAATACCGAATACCTAAGTGCGTTACGAGAAACCCAAAGATCTAATCTCAAGCAACCACGCCATCTAACCAGAATGACTCCAGTCGAAGGCGAAGTAGTCTTGATCGAGGAAGACCTCCTTCCTAGGGGATGCTGGTCATACGGGAAAGTCGCTGAAGTCATCAAAAGCACAGACGGCTTGATCAGATCAGCGAAGGTCGCTTTACCTAACCGCAAAATCATACAGCGCCCCTTGAACAGGTTGTTTCCACTCGAAATACGCAGTCTTCCAGACAAAGAGATTCCGATAGAAAAGGTTATCAAGAACGGTACACCCGATTTACCAGAAATTGCAACAGCAAATCCTGTCCCTCAAAAAGACAGATCACATCTGGCTCGCGCTTCGAAAACAAAAGCTTACGAGGTCATAAGGGACTTTGAAGCAGGACTGACACAGCAAAACGTAGGGCTATCGTCATTTCCACTATTGTACATTGCAATCCTATCAGTAATTTCAACCGCCGCAGCGTACCAAACAGAAAGCCCCTTGAAAATCTCCTGCCACAACGGAAGAGTATACATCCCACCATCTCAGAACATTTCCTTCCAATTATGTCTCAACGACAAGTGTACAATATTGAAAAACTCTACCCGACCCACCTCCTACGCCATCCCTGTCTCACCACACAATGGCAAGATCAAAATTGAAATCTACCCCACAGCGAACGGTAGCCAAAAGTTTGAGAAATATTGCTCAAGACCAGACTTTTGCGCACACAACTACTTCCTTTCAAAAAGCCTGCTAGGCAATCCACAATGTTCTCCGGTAGCGGCATTCGCCACACTAGCAGTCGCTATTTACATTGTTGGTCTCATACTAGTGGTGACCGTTCGCATGACAACAAGAGGAAGGAAAAGCGTACCTCCAAAACCGAGACCACCACCATCCTCCACGGCTCCTCCGAATAGTACTCTTCACGGTTTCGTACCGGCACCCTTGCCATACAGTATCGTTGTGTTGTGCCTAGCGTTTGTGATGATCGGGTCCGCAGCCGCCTGCCAAAACGGCTACACCCGCCAATCAGCAAACCTTCTTTGTGAAGGAACATCCTGTAATTATCACTATAGTAAAGAACTACTATTCAATCGACTCATCCACGAAACCTGCATTGAAATTCATCACTCTAATAGAACAATTGCATTAGTAAAAGTAGTCAAAAAGACGATGAAAATGAGATGTTTAAAAGCCATAGAAACCTTCACTAGGAGTACACAAACACATATGTATTATGTGGAAAGGTGCGCAGAGGCAGGAACATGTACCCCCACAAGATGCCAAACCATGAGATCAAATGAGACGATAAGCGAACTAAGTAAGTATAGTAGATATCCTGGTTATTCTGGATGTACATCCATTTGCGGTGGGTTACCATGTGGATGCCTGCTACCACTCCCAGCCTGCCGCTTCTACAGACTAGCAAATCGACCAACATCACGAACTGTCTATGAGGTGGTCAGATGCGCCGAATGGACACCATCCATAGAAATTGACATTACAATAACGAAAACGAACGGGGAACATTCGGCGAATCTGCACATTAAGCCCTACATTACGGAGTCGCTCAGCGGATTCAACATAACAGCAATTTCGGTCCAGAAGCCCACAATACCATTGATGAGCCAAAGATTTGCAATAGCACAAGGTGAAGGTTTCATTCTACCAACACAGTTTTCAATCCCGGTTGAGTGCGTAAGCAGGAATCAAGCCGAAAAAGAATTTCATACATGCAGAAATACGGTTAAATGTCACTGCGACGGCACAGCCTATTGCCAGTGCCCCGAGGATTCCCTACTCTCACTGCAGAACTCAAGTTACACCTTACCCCATGCAAACCCCAGTGTCAGACTCGAACAGAGTGACGGAAATGTAGCTGCATTTACAGATGATGGCGAATTCGTCATAACTCTAGAATCACGAGCACTAATAAATAACTCACAAATTGTAGACAACAATGAATGCAAGCTACAGTTTATCAACCTAACAGGATGCTATGATTGTGAGGAGGGAGCTAAGCTTACTACCCTCTGCCACTCCCAAACACCTGCAGAGATAACGGTCATTTGCAAGAACCACGAATTCACAGTTGAATGCGGACCTAATAGCGTTAAGACCGATCACTTACTAGCATTCGAATATGCCCTTATTGACGAATCTTGTAAAACGGATTGCTTGGCATCGAAAAGTGAGCTTAGACTACAAGCACATCTCCATTATCACATTCCTCACAAAAACTATAACATTGAAGACTCTCAGCACATGCTTTCTGTCAAAAATCAATGGTTTGCGGATTTTTCCATTCCAGACATCATGCCTCTAATCGAAACAATACGAAACCACTGGAAAACTGCAACATTCATACTTGCCTCTACACTCACACTCGTAGGATTAACATATTTAGCTGGACCTATGTTGCTAATTATGTTACTAAAAATTCTACTATACCCGTTCAAACTAGTCTTAGAGGGAGCCTATCGTCTCATTTGTAAAAGAAAAATAGAGAACAAAGAAGATGATCAAAAAATATGAAACAATAGAAAAAGAAAAAGTGCAATGTATACAGAAAAATATATCAACTCTACCTTTATGTATGCTTTCACCGACCGTAGAGCACTAGGCCGTCCCTTCGCACCTCAAAAGATACACCACCGCACCTCAAAAACATACCCTCGTCCACCTCGTAATTATCATTGCTTTGCAGGCAACTTCACACCTCAAAACTGCGAGTTATATGTTGTAAATAAAGACAAGGGAGTCGACGAAAACACATGAGTAAAGAAAAAATGAATAGACAGAAATAGAGTTTCATTAACACTTGCACAAATCAAAAAAAAAAAATTTTCCAACATAGCCGTCAAGACCGGTGCGACGTACGTAAACATCACATCATACCCCCCCCCCCCCCTTATATCGATATCAGCGGCCCGCGCAATTAACACCTCCGAAAAGGCGCGAAAAGCACCACACAAAAGTTCAGGGTACATAGTACCACTAAACGATATAAATAGGCGCTCTTTTAATGACTAGTTATCCTCCGCTCCTCACCGTTCGGCCGGCCACCTCCACCGCCACCTCCGTCCACCACCGCCTCAGGCCACCTCCACCGCCACCGCCGTCCACCACCACCTCCGGCCACCGCTCCGCGACCGTCGCCGACACACACGGCCACGTGATATAAACCGGTAAGCGCCTCAAGATAGCTATGCAACTCAATTTTGCATAATAACTATCTACTCAGCGACCACGATGTCGCTCACAGCGGAGCTGCAGGAGGCTTTAGAAGACCTCGACCGGTACGACGACACCCATCTCGCACCCAAGCTGAACGCGCTGGAGCTCCTGTGCAGGACGATCGCGGAGCAGAACAGCAAAATCCTGGAGCAGAACGCGCGGATCGTGGACCAGAACCAGAAGATACTCGAGCGCACCTCCCCCAAATCAAACTGCGTATTCTGCAGTGTGGAAGAGAACAGGGACAACCACTTCTCGGGTAGGTGCCTTCGTTTCAGGGATCCAATCGCCAAGGCAGCTCAAGCCTCGAAGCTGGGACTCTGCCTGCTTTGCCTCAAAGCAGTGCACGAAGACGACTGTGGGGTCAAGTGTGGGAATTGTGGCCTCGGCCACAATTTCCTCCTTTGCTCCAGCCGGCGACCCGCACATCCGCCACCAAAACGCCCACGCCACTGAAGCCCGCCGTTCAACGCCAGCCGATGTCCGCCGCCCAACGCCAGCCGTAGCCGCCGTCCATCGCCACCCGCCATCGTCGCCGTCCTCCCCAAGATCCAGCATCGCCCGCCGCAGCTGCCGTCAACGCCACCCGCCATCGTCGCCATCCACCACAAGCTGTCAGCCCAGCCCTAGCCGTCTCCACATCGCCAGCCGTAGCCGCCGTCCAACGCTAGCCGAGCTCCAGCCACCTCCACCCCAACTGTTCGAGGACGCAACAAAAATTGATATGGTATTTATATTGTCTTTGTATTTTGTACGCTATATTCATTTTGTCGCCCTCTCGGCGGGAGTATCATCGTCCCGATGATACCTCTACCCCCGCCGCGACCCCAGGTCACGCCTGAATAGGCGTGGCCCAAGACATCCGCCCTTTTACCACTCGTACACTTGACCAAGCTCTTGTATACACGCTCTTGCTACTCGCTGTAATCTTGTTAATAAACCTGAACCACCGTCTTTTCCACTTGTATTCGCGTTACGGGCAAAACCGCCCAAGAGTCTCTAGTACCCGCAATAGTCCGGGCAAAAACTCGATTTTGAGATTTTGTGCTTACTTAGACCTATTCGCTACGCTGAATCCGAAAATGCACATTGTAGAGCGCGAAAATGGCGAAAAACGGCTCTAACACAGGAGGGAAATGAGCAGGTGGGCGGGGTCCTCCCCACTGCGATCACGTTCCCGGCTTCTGGAGCGACCTTCTCGCCTCCGGTTTCAAGTCAGTCATTCGCACTTGACCGGTAGCGATGTCAGGACGGCTAGCGGATTAGAGAAAATCGCTCCGGGAGCTGGGAGCGTGAAATCGCACTGGGGAAAGCCCCGCCCACCTGCTGATTTCCCTCCTGTGTTAGAGCCCTTTTTCGCCATTTTCGCGCTTTCCAATAAGGGATTTTCGGATTCAGCATGGCAAATAGGCCCGTATAGCACAAAATCTCAAAATCGAGTTTTTGCCCTGACACTGCCCTTAAAGGACCGGACCAACGCAGATGCCCCTCTCGTGGGGCCTACATTCAGGATAGATTCTAGCAGGAGGGGGTTAGATTTAGCCTGGACACTGCCTTTAAGCTACTTTCAAGTTTTGTCTATGTGCTGTTAATATCTTGGAGTCTAGAGCAAAAAATGAATTCTAAGGGCCGCATGCACTAACATGGCCGCGGGGAGGGGATCGCAGCTTAAAAGAAAGCTTCATATTTCAAAACTCCAGGTACTTGGATTTTACGTTGTGTACCTATCCGTAAGTATTCCTACTATCCTTCACTATGAACATGTTGAACAGGAGCGATAAGCTGTACAAACGGCATTTTCCAGTTTTTGTATGGTCCCTGATGATCCCCGGCGCTTTTCTTTGAAGTCATTTTTCTTTCTCCGAAGTCAACGAAAAACTTCCAAAGTTGTGCAGATTATCTAACCCAACAGTGCTAAACATGTTGCTGATAAGAACAAATGATGTTCTGAAGTCATGAAATTTTCGATGATCCACAGGTCGAAATTTGGGGTGTACCGAAAAACTCGATTCTTCAAAAATTCATTTGTTTTCATCAGCAACATGCTTAGCACCGTTGCGTTAGATGTTCAGTATAACATTGGAAGGTTTTCGTTGACTTCGGAGAAAGAAAAATGACTTTGAAAAATAGATGTTCGTCCCCCAGGGATCGACAGGGGATCCTACAAAAAGCTGGGAAATGCGGCTTGTACAGCTTCTCGCTTCTGCTCAATATTTTCATAGTGAAGGATGGTGGGAGTACTTACGGACAGGTAGACAGCGTGAAATCCAGATATCCGGAGCTTCAGGATATGAAGCTTTCTTCTGAAGCCGATCCCCTCCCCAGCGGAAATGTTAGTGCATGCGGCCCTAAGTTCAAAATGCCGCACAGCGAGTATCTGCCAATCTCCCACCGAGAACCTCCTTGTCCCGAACACTTGGCCCCAGAATATATTTGCGCGTGCTCGCGTCATTCATTCCATGACTATAACACAAGAAGAGAGGGGAACGGTCAGGAGTCACGGTCGGCGCGAATTTTTCGCGAAGCGATGCCGCAAGCGATGTCACCAAAACAGAAGCTAGCACTCCTGGCGCAGTCTTACTTATGGCACGAGCCATGTATCTGCCCCCACCCCCCACCCCCCTAGACTGGCGCCGTGCCACTTTAGCTCCGGGCAGTTTTATGGGGTACAAAATTTAGACGCGACGTGCGCGGCGAAGCGGCGCGGCGCGCGGCGTGACTCCTGACATGGAGCCCAAGAAGAGACACCAGCGCTTTGCACACATTGTCAAAACAGACTTGATCGTGTGTTAACAAGTCTTATGATCTAAATAATGGACCGCTGCTTGAAACAGAAAAGAACAACTTCAAGCTTGTTTAAGAATGTGTGCAAAGCGGTTTTGAGTCTCTCGGTCACAGAATGAATGATTTGTAGTCCAACAAAAACAGGCAAGGATTTGCAAGGCTACGTAATTGGTACCTTTACTAAACTCTGGTCGCAGCATCCCACTATGGTGTGCAAAAAACATCGGTCTTCTTCGCTGCTAAAACCCAAGGGAACGAAGCCCCGACCGAAATCTGCGTTTGCTGATGACAGGCTCTTGCCGCAGAAGTGCGTAGCGGGTGCAGCGGCCGTATCGCCGCGCGCAGAACCGGATCGCTTTCTCGGCGGGAATTCGCATTTTTTGAATAGTTTTCCGACAGCAGCCGGCTTCTCAGCCTACGCATTCAAAATGGTTCCTCTCCTCAGGTCACTTATCGTGTCGTTTTGCGTTGTTGATTCCGTATCTTATTTCCACTTCTTTGCGAACATTTCTACCCATACACACCTTGGAAGTAGTCCGTTTTCTTCATCGCTTATTCTCCTTTGTAAACGACTATTCAGTCCTCTCAACGCTTTCGCTTCTTTTCTATTCAGTTACGCACGTCATTTGACCGTCGATCGGCCCCGTATATGTGCGATCGTAACGTCTAACGTCGTCGTTGGAGCATTGACGCAACCGATTTTCTTGTGCCAATTTACACACTTCAGACCAAGTTCTTCGTTGTGTTTTTCTACATCGTTGCTACTCCAATGGTTGACGTTGATGTGAAGAAGCCGCATAATGTAAGTAATTTTTCTTTCTTTTTATTTTGGTTTTGTTTTGTTGCAACTTTTGAACGTTGTCTAAATCTGCATTAGCCCATCAAGCTGTTCATCTTATCTCGTTTTTTTTCTCATCGCTGAGAATACGTTCATCTTACTCACGGTGCTGCATACTTTATGACAATGATCTTTACTTTCATTCACACAATCAGAAATTCGCCATCAGCATAAGTTTTGTACACAAGCGTGTCGCGTCACGCCACTTAAATCTCATACTGTTTTTTTGTAAACTTACCACTTGTGTTTACCACTTCTCGTCATTCATGCGAGACAGGTTTACATCAGTTTCTTCCTTCTGCTGCAAACTCATTTGCAAATCTCGTTTTAGCCGTGTAAACCTTCAAAGTTCTTCACACACGCGCAATTCTGACTTTTTGGTGTAGATGGGAACTCATGGAGTTCGATTGAAACTATAATAGTATAAATGTTAATCCTGAAAAAAGTGGTCTTTGAGAAATCTAGAGCATGCCGAAATCAAACTAAAAACGCACTTTTATTTAGAGGCAAGTGCGACCAGTTCTATCGCCAAGACATTAAATAGAAACTCGTTTTATGTATTTTCTTGGAAGAAGGATAGTAAAACAAAATTGGCAGTCTCTCCTTCCAAAAGTCTTATCTTTGTTATAGTGGCGGTTACAAACAAAAGTGATGAGTCAGTCCAGTGATGGTTTCAATAGTTCCTTTCCTTTGCTTTCTTATTTGGATTTTCTCTTTTGTTCATTCCTTTATCATAAACTTCTTCTTTAAGGTGACTTCAAGAGATTTTGTAAAAAATCTTTATGCATGATTTTCAGTCCTGACCATTCTCTCTGCATATAGTTTTCACCTCATCTTTGCGAACCTTGGCGGAGTTTTTGCTGCTACCAATAATTTTTACAGCCATTCTCTGAATCTTTGTTGTAGCCGATTCTGAGAGTGGCAGGTGCGCGATAGATGCTTTTTTACCACTCTCCTTTGTGTACGACCATATGCACGCAAGATGCACTTTCATAAATTACCGGTTTTCCACAACCCACATGCTGAAGGTAACAGCTCATTATTCTTTCCAAGGAAGCAGATTATGGTTTTGCACTTGTTGCTAGGGATGATGGAAATAGAGTGTGGCTAAAGTGGTATAGCTCTGAAAAAAGGCATTGCCAGCAAACCTGATTCTTATTTCTTTTTTAAATCGCTATTCGTATTAGGAGCTTGCGAATAAACTTGTCGCAAATGGCTCATCATCTCGATTAATTTTTAACATTGGAAGTCATGTTGCTATGATACACAGTGATGAATACTTAGCAAAGACAAGCACCGACTCAGTCGCAGAGCAAATTAGTTGTTGCACAGCTTTGGTGAAATCGGTGAATATTGCTGCGAACACGATTAACTTGACTACTCTTCACGTCTGAGGAATAGGCTCGTTCATATTGCTTAAACTAATAGAATCATCATTTATCACAATCAGATTCTACAGCGTAGACCTCTAAAGTTGGTGACTAGCTTACAAAGTAAAATTTTTGTGCGTTTCGCTTTGCTGCAAGTTTTCTGTCAAGTTCCGTTTGGCGCTATGAAATACCTTGCGATTTTCTATGCAACAGGCTGAAATCGTATTGTGTCGAATGTCTGAATAGTAAAGTTTACTGCTCTAGCGAACTTCTTGTTATCTTTACTTCCTCTTGCCTTTAGAGTGCAATGGTTTTGCCATACTTCGGACCTATTCTGATCACCACATCTTATTTTTGATTTTGCAATTCAATTGATAACGTATTTGATGGTTCAATTCGAAGGAAAAGTATCTACTTCCATTTGTGTTTTTTCCTGCGCCGCTCAAATCATTTTTTGTTCCGATTAAACCTTGAGATGAGAAACTACCTATGTAAATGTGCGAAACTTGAAGTTTTCTTACCCATACTTCTTCGGGATTCTGATCAAAGCTCGCATTTGAACGCTCGTAGCTACGACCGGTAGGAACATACGTAAGAAGCAGCCCAGTGCGCTTAACAGCATTCAAAAATCTTAATTGCAACCCGGATCAGATCCTGTTCGCGAGCCTCGTTTCGGTTCTTTCTAGATGTCTTTGGTTACTGACCAATCACTGGATTGGCACCAATGTTCTGGTACTACATAACCTTTCTAAATTGGCGCATTTATTTATTAGCATAATGCAGATTGGGTACTAAGCAAAAATATGCGCAAACGTGATAGCGAAGTGCAAAAATGCATTTTGAACGCTGGTCAGACTCGAAGTTTCACTGGGCTAAACATGAAAATGGGACTATTTGCAGCCTGAGGGTTGGACCAGACGGCGCGGCGTACGCGACGTGCGCTGCGTACGCTCCATGTCTTTGTGCACATGAGTGTACGCAGCGGACGTCGTGTACGCCGCCTATGCTACCCAGTCTGGCCCAATCCTGAGGCAAACACATCAAGCCGAAAGTGTACACATAGATTGTTGTTAAGGCTAGGTTCCTACTAATCCGCATGTTTCGGAACAGTTCCAGCACAGTTCTCGCACTGCTCTTAAATGGTCCCGGAACCGGGCTGCATGCGCTAATTTTTGAGATTTTTCGAAAATTCACTTTAGCCTTACAAAAAACTTTTCGGGGCGTGGCTGACGCTGCATATTTGTACATACACTTGTTGCATTTTTCTGTTTTGTTGAGACCAAGTAAAAAAATAATGCGTGTATTTTCAAATTTTGCCTGTAGCGGTTCTGTGTTCACGGAGTATGTGATTATATAGCTTAATCACTGAAATGCTGCCACAGATTTGTACTTTGGCAGGTGTCTTAGTTCTTGAGAAGTAACAATTTGAAGGTTCGATTATGAGAAGACTTAGTGCACAAACTAAAATATGGAGCATGTTTTCAAAACTTGTCCTATAGCGCCAGAACCTGCACGCGCGAAAGAGACGTTTTGGCGCTGTTCGCTTTTCGGCGTTTTAGGGGCTTTATATGACGGGTTCCCTAGCTTCAGTGGCGGTCCCAGGATTTCGGACCGAGGCGGGGGCGACAAAAATTTTTTTTCAAATAAAGGTGCGTGACGTCAGCCAGCACTCCGAAAAATTTTTTGGGGTGCTTCTCAAAATTTTTGCGGGTCGGTCATTTCTACAACTCGTATAGGTAATCATATAGTTTTCATCTCGCTATGAGTGCTGAAGAAAACAAGGTCAAACTAGCGACATACACTGCTTGTATATTTTGAAAAAATGACGCATTCGCCCGATTCATGTGATATCACCACAGCCTTGCCATATCTCGCTTCAGAATGGACGAATTCTCAATGCAAGAGCACTATTCGATTCAGCTTGGCGCAGCACATCTTCAAATATATAGGAGTGTATAGGAGTGCCCTCCTGGACCCATTAGAACGCCACATCCACAATTCATTTCAGAGTTTGCTTACGGTAGATTGCCCAGTGAGTGCAATGAATAAGCGGCGCGTTGAGTAACTTACCGTAAGCAGAAATTTGAAACGATCCGTGGATTCTGATGGAAGCGAGATATGGCACGCTGCGGCGATGTCACATGATTCGGACAACTTTGCGTCGTTTATTCAAAAAATACGAGCAATATTGTAGTAGCATGGATCCTGTCCTTGATCATTGTCCTCAAAACGCCTTCGCCCTTTATTTGCCTTTCATGTGTCTTGATCATAGTTTCAAATCTGGTGTAAACGAGATGAAATTTTGCATCAGAAACTGCAGCGGGCTCCCACCATATTCCGGCTAGAATTTCATGGTCATTTTGCAGGTGCTCATACGAACAGAATTTAGTGTTACATGTTATAGTGTTTATAATACTTTTTTTGGATGAGGCTTTCGAAGTAATAACGAATTTGGAGTGAATAACTTGTTGCATAGATATTTCTACTGTTTTCAGAATGTGCATCCTCCATCGCACGCACCGCCTCAACCACCTCCTCACGCTCCTAAGTCTCCCAAAGATCCACAAGTTGGGCGTACCTTGGAACTCAACGGTCACGTTGGACTCGATGCGTTACCTCATCAGCTGGTCAAGAAGTCAGTCGAGGCTGGGTAGGCTTTACAATATTCCTTGGTTTCTGATGTGGATGCTTCGGCTGAAGAATGCACTTTGCTTTATACTAACTATCTCTCACCAAACCCCCGGAGCTTATGTTCTCTTGCTTAACCCCTCAAAGGAGTGACGTTTGGCAAAAATAACATATCATGAGATACCTCGTAGAAGATACCATAAATTATTTTGTAAAAAGTGTTTTCCATCGAATGTGTCTTGTGAAGCGGATATAAGGAACGTTAGGTCAGTCACGAGATGAGATTGCCCTTTGTTTCGCTAAGATTGCAAAAACGACCATTCCATTTGGGCATTGCACTTTTGGGAAATAGCTTTCACAAAAAATGACTCGAAAACGTGGAGAAGATGAGGATGAGTGAGTTGTTGTAATGTGACCGTCAATGGGTTGAGTAAATGAAGGGAATTGATGGAAGCTCTGTGGTGAAACGCCGTCAAGATAGAATCTAACTTCACGTAACGGCTACGTAACCTTTCTTTGCGAGAAGGAAATAAGATTCAACTTTCTCAGACTCATGCACGATATTTCTTGGAAAACGTATCGAATAATCGATAAAGCACATGTCCACCGGCTGGAATTTGAGACAACTTTCACAAAAAGTTCCTTTAAATTTCCGTTCATTAGACGCATATAAAGCATTATCATTCAACAAAAACAACTGGTATGAAACTAACCTTCTTCTATACATTTCCGTTTTCTTTATAAAGCGAGATGTTTATATCCCTTCTTTCTCCACCGATGCGCGCATGTTTATTTTTAATCAAAAGAGAAAATTATGTTCTTTCTCACAGTACTTAGAGCACCTTTTGGTATGAGTATTAGTGAAAGAATTATTACCCGAACTTTGATTTTCCTGTGTGATCGTAAAAAATCTGAAACTTGCAATAAAAGCAGGAGCAGTCAGCTTTGTAGGTTTCTTGCCCTGCTTCTAACAAGGGAAGGATACTTGGTCGAAGTGAAATGTCCATGTGATTTGTATAAAACGCTCATTCTGAATCTTTCTTCAGTATCTGCGAGGCGCTTCTGGGAGGAGAGTAACGTGATTTTTTGAGGTAGAAATTAAATGTTTTGGCTAAGATAAAAATAGATGTTGAGGTCTTTTCGTCGCTTGAAAGGAGCAATGACTGACATGAGTTTATTAGATTGAAGGCCTAATTCCATAAAACGTCCTGGTAGTAATCATGGTTCCATTTGAACTCATGGACTAAGGTTCCGAATGATTTTATTGTAGCGGCGCTTTCAAATTGTTGCATCAAAAAAACTTCCATAACTCCCCTCCAAAAGCGCTTTGCGGATACCGAAAGTAGGTTCGAACTCAGCGTTCCATGCTCTATAAAACTGTATACATTTTATATGGAAACACCACTTAACCAAGTATCCATTCCTTGTAAGAGCAGAACCCATGCCGATTAGATGCCTTTGCTAAAAGTTATGGTTTAAGCAAACATTACAAAAAGCCAATTTGATTTTTGGCAATCTCACAAGAAGGAGCGCAAGAAACTCATAATTGTGACTGCTCCGTTTTCGAATGCAAGTTTAGATTTTTTACGACTAAACACAGGAAAATTAAAATTTGAGCGATTTTTTATCGCTTTTATATACGCGTGTGTGCCTAATGGAAAGCGTGCTACATCCCGTTATAGAGCGCATGATTTCTTCTTTCAAATAAAAATAATTTGCAGATTTGTTGAGATGTAAGAATATGAGGTTTTGAAAATAGTGCGAAGGAACTTCTGCCCAACCTCATTCTTACAAATAGTTGGTTGAAGAACTTCAAGCAAACAAAATTGCTGAAACTGGAAACTGCATGAAGACTGAATAAAGTTTGCCCCTACAAAGCTTAGTAGAAGTGTCTATGATGAAAGAAATTATCAGTTTTCCTACCGTAGATTTTGAAACTCATGCACTTTCCAGGGTACATTTTTCTGTTTTGATACAAGATCAAGATTCTTAATTTGGAGGTTTTTTTCGGAAATATGAGCTCAAAGAGTCCCTCTAATTGAATGCATTTGCGTAGCTTGAAAACTCGCAATTCTTCGAATTTGTTTTTGGATGGGATAAGCCGGCTTTTGGGTTTCAAGACACTGTATAAAGAAGTTCTTCTTATAGCTTTCAATTCAATCTGATGTGCGTTGGAGAGACAGGCATGGGAAAGACCACGTTAATCGAATCACTTTTCAACATGAAGTTGGATTTTGAGCCGTGCAGTCACGAACTGAAAACAGTAGAACTCCGCACCAGATCGTATGGTTAGTATTTTATGCTTACTTGGTTCATTCTTGATTTAAATCTTTTTTTTTTCAATATAATCAAACGGTAGCGTTTACTGATGCTTATTTTTATAGAGGTCGCTGAAGGAGGAATTCGTGTGAAATTGAGGCTGGTAGAGACAGCTGGATTTGGCGATCAACTGGACAAAGACCAAAGGTAACCTACGTTCTGCAATTGTCCACTTGCGATAATAACAACTAATCATTCCTCTGTGACTCACTCACATTGCAGATTAATGACTTTTATGCTTGATCTGGCAAGATTCTCGTTTGTCCGTTGCATAATTGTGAAAGAGCCCTATTCAGAAATTTTAGTGCACGAGTGATAGTGGACTATTTGGAGGCACAGTTTGAGCGCTACCTACAGGAAGAGCTGAAAATTCGTCGTGCACTGAACTACTTCGATGATTCGAGAATACATGCATGCTTATATTTTATATCACCAACAGGACATGGGTGAGTAATAGCAGTTTATTTGTATAAGAAATCGGATGAAAAACAAAAATCTTACTCCTTCCCTCTAGGGTCACTGTAAACTGCTCTATCCTTGTTGCGAGTGATGGAAAAAGTAGCTCATTCGGCTTCTTGCTTTGATTCTCCGTGACGCTTGATATTCTGAATATGCTATACCTAAAAGTATACTGCAGTTCTTTGTTGCTAAGTGGGCGTGGCGCGTGCAGCCAATCAGGCAATCGACACTTAAAGGCACCATCCACCCTAAGTTGGGGGTCTTGAGCTTTTGGCAGCTTACGATTGTAGAACACCCTATCAAGCCAATGACCAACTCAGACAGTCGAAGGGATACCTCCGGCGGGCATATGGCGCGAGTCTGCCACTTCGCGCTCCGGAGCCCTGCCATTTCACGCATTTTTGTGCTCCGGGGCTCTCCCAAAAGTGGCGCACCTCCGGAGCAGAGATTTGCGCGTCGCGGAGAGGGGTCCCATCCATTCACCGTGACATCACGGTGACGTCAAACAGGACGAATGGGACCCTCTCCGCGACGCGCAAATCTCTGTTCCGGACGTGCGCCACTTTTGGGAGAGCCCCGGAGCACAAAAATGCGTGAAATGGCAGGGCTCCGGAGCGCGAAGTGGCAATCCTCCGCTGGGAAAGCCCGCGACCCCGCCACTTCTGCTCCGGAGGTATCCCATCGACTGTCTGAGAAGTCGCAGTGTCAATTGTCGCTTCGGAATAGCGAAGAGGCAAGAGGACATCAAGTCGGCACCGTCTCCGTCCCCCCTCCTGTAATGCCTGCCCATAAATGCGCGCCCATCCAAGCACCTTTCGGAGAACTTGCCTGCGGGCTTTTCGCGCGGGATTTTGCGGATTTTCGACTTTATATTCGGAAACAGGGACATGAGAAGGCCCCGGAACGACAAAAGATGGAAGTCGAGAATCTGGGTGGACAGTGCCTATAAAGATTGGGGTTATCTGTGCAGTGACAAGGTCCTTCGTATTCTATCTTTCTGGTAGCTACATAATGGATTTCATATAACTTTGAGCTGATTTTGTACAACGCAAAAGTTTCTGCATTGGCGAATTTCATTGAAATCATCTTCGTGTGTCTGTGCAATTAAAGAAAAGTTCAAAATCAAAACAATTGAAATTGTCGACAATTAGCCCACCAAAAGCATGCATATCGGTTGGCTAGATCAGTCGGATCAATTCTTAGAATCCTGTAAAAATTAATGATTGAAACTGAAAGCAAGGGTGATCCTATTCTGGTCACACAGCAGGAAGTCTTGAAGTTTTCCAGAAAATGCTTTTGGCGGATGATCTCTTTCGAACTTAAGCGCTGAAGCTTTGACTTCTTTGCCTCTCTTTCTTTGTATTCTAGAACTATGCTTACCTATGCAAACACATTAAGATGGAAGGTCTTTTTTTATGATTGTCTGTTCCATTGTCATTTTGCGAAGTTTTAAACTCTAGTGTGCTATTAGATTGATGCAGCTGACTTTTTGACGTGTGTTGGAGCTGAGGTTAGAGTTACAGTGTACTAGGGGGGTCTATTACCCAACACTACCAAAACCTTACAGGGGTCCACTTTGCCGAGCCTTGCCTTAGCCTTTGCCTTTAGATATAGATCTGGGTATAAGAGTTTCACATGTGAAAACTTAAAAACTGGAAAGAGGCCCTAAGTAAAGCCGCTGCCAAGCGGTGACGCAGATGATTTTATAAGGTGGGGAAATCCATCTGCGGTCCCCTCTAGACCCTAGTCCAGACCGTGTTGCGCCTCATGCTTGCGAGGACCTGTAACGGTATGGTATGGGCGTAGATGGAACATTTCTCAATGGTTGATAAGTGGTAGCCCTTCTCATCAGTTTCCGCATCGCACCGATGTGTACATGTTGCTTGGAGGCTGTGTCCCTTCACGATACAAGTAGTGCAACATTTTGAAATTTGCTGGGTAATTTGTCACTAAAGAATTCTCCATGCCATCCGATCTCAAAATGTTTAGCTTGAGAAATGAGTTTGTTCCTCCGAAAGTTGGAAGTGCGATCTTGTGGCAAATAAAAACAATATTTTTTGCGTGACACATTCGGTCGAACACGTCAGGTTTATGTCCGCCTGCCATATCGCTAATCTCAATCTGTATCTGCTACGCGCCTGACCTCGTCTGCACTATCGGCTTCGCGTTCGGCCACAGATTCTGTCCATCTGTAGGTGTCATTAATTGTCTTTCTACTTTAGCTACTCAGCTCTTTCAAATTTTTTTCTATCACCCCACGTGGAGTGCCGACGTAGATGTGTCGGCGATGCGGCAGTTGGAGAAGGGACATTCAAATGCCCACAAAGGTCACCAGCATGTACTTTTTTTGGTTCACTCTACCGTCCCTAGCCTTTCACGAGGATCGCGTCTTGCGACGGCTAAGTTTGAGCTTAGGATTTCGTCTAGAAATCGTTGAAAGCTGCTTACGTTAGCATTAGCATAGGAAGTCCGTTTGTGACGCAAGCTAAGGGCTATCGCCATGTAACTCTCGGGAAGCTGTTTAGGAAATATACTAAGTTGGTCCGAAAGATTTGTCCACCATTTAAAAAAATCGACTCCTTCCCACGGTAGTCTTGCATGACCTTAGAGTAAATCGTGCACTTTCTAATGACACCTTGTAATTGAAAAAGAAGATCACTCGAGGCTTGGTGATTTTAAGCAAGCCCGCAAGGCCAAAATTGCCATAAAATCCGAAACAGTAAGTCATAAGTTTTCTGACCTCTTCTATTGCACAACTTTGCTGATAAGCTTTCCCTTGAAAAGTTACGGTTTTCGAGAAACCAGAAAATGGGAAATTTATTTCCTGGCATTTTTTTTCTCGGAAATCGTAACGTTTCATAAAGAGGCCTGCTTTGAACGAACTTTACTCATTAGAAAGAGGAAGTCAGAAGATTTGTACCCTGACGTTTTGGATTTTATGGCACAGTAAAGTAGGTTCTTGAAGAGCTTGTTTAGAACCACCAAAGCTAAAGTAATCTTCTTCCTTTCTCATCTTTGCAATCTTAGTTTTCCAGAGAGCAAACAAGGTGTTATTTGGAATCACTTGACTTACTCTTTATGCTAATGATGCCATGCAGGACTATGGTGACCGTAAGTAATTACGATTTATTCTAAATATTGCGATAGAACTTTCGAACCAACCTGATTTGGGTGCTTTTTGAGATCCTGGTAGTTTAGTTCTATCCGTAGAAGAAAATAAGTTGTTTACATCTCGGTATCTATAACTTTTTTGTCCCCTCCCCACGTCTCTCTTCTTCTGGAAGCTTTGTGTAAACATTTTACAGGCTAACCAGCCTTCCATCTTCATAGTAACGTACCACTGACTTTTTTCATTCCTTCTTTGATGCGTATCTGTGTGAAGGTTATCAACTTCCATAGAGAGTATAAACTGAAAAGTACGGCACAGACTTGCGATATAGGGCAATCGACGTTTGAAAACTGCAAACTGACTTGAAAAGAACTTTCTTCTCACAGTCAGTTACCCCATTCGATTCGAACACTAATGTGTTCGATTCTCAAACACTTACGCATTCACATAGCGCCTGTACAAGACGTTGTCCGTGCACTTTTTCATAGCTCATGCGCGTCTTTGAGAGAAGTTTGAGGCCATTACGAGGCTCTCAAGCATCGCCTTTTTCTCTCAAGTGCTCTTAATTTCTCGCTGAGTTTTTGCTTATTCTCGTCGTACTAAACGGATCCGGTCTGAAGTTTGCTGGTTATCCGCAAACGTTATCGAGTTTTGAGTCTCGACGAGAATTTTCTTTATTTCATAGAGTGTCTATAAATTCAAGCCAAATCTTTGGTATACAACTAAGTTGAAGACGTTATTTTCAACAAAGAGTAATCGTTTTTTCCTACGATGCATTGTTCGAGTTGCCTGGTTACATATGGAACGGCGGGCTTTTTTTCTTTGTAAAAGGCCGAATCTCCTTTGAAACGATGTTCGTGGGAGTGTTTGCAGGTCAGCGCACGTCTTTCGATTGCTAATTTTATTCTTTCTTCTCTTGGTTTGATTTGGTTTTTGAGCAGTTGAGTTTTAATCCAATTATTATCAGTCTGGTTGCTAGAATTAGGATAACGAGCTTCTGCGAAGTTCGTAGCTTGATTCCTTAGTGCGGTGTTCTTTCTAAGTAATAGTTCCATTCCAAAATGGTTTCTTAGGAAAGATTGGAATCCTCTTTTGAAGAATATCAGTGGGGTTGTATTGAATTTGAATTTTACCCCATAGCCCATTTCCCTGCTCATTTAGCAGTCAATGTCCGTCACCGTCCCCACGATAAAGTTATTCTATCGTTCATCTATGTAAACAATAGTGCTATATTGTATGCAGCTCTGTAGCGGTCGAGATTAGTCACTCTGCCTCTTAGAGGATGTATACAGTCTCGGTTTCACAAATTATTTTGAGTGAAAAAGAGCCTTTTTTAGTTTCTTCAAAGAGGCTAAAATTTGCGCGCAAAAAAGTAGGTCGGTTCTTCAAAATGTGAAATGTTTCTAACATTGCAGAAGAATTCCCATAAACGCAAAATTTATCGTTCAATTGCAGTATATTAGAATTTTCCTATTTGAACCACTATGAACTTTTCGCCAACTACATAGCCCTCAGATGTTTTGTCCCCTGGTCGTCCGCTTTGCGCTTGTATCGTCGTCGATGCTGTTGTGTTTTTGAACGATGGCCTTTTTTTACATGGTAATCGACCGTGCTTCTTCAAATGTGAACATCGCGTCTTTACCAGTTTTTGTAATGATTTTTGAATCGTCGGAGGGACTACTTTATGACCCGACTGGCATGACCTTCAAATCAGTTATGTCGAAAATGTGATTGATTTGTTCTGGATTAGTAGACATATAGATGTAGCAAACCTAATATTTTGACTGCTTTCTACGCATTCCCCTGCGTATGAAGCATTTGGTTGTATTTTTTGGCAGTGAAGAAAACATTATTTTTGAGATTTTTTTACAAAATTTTTCAATAGTTCGATATCCTGGGCAGAACTACTCAAAGCAAAAATATCATTTCTTTGCCTTGTTTGCGCACTGCTTGCAATTTATTTATTTATTTGAATACACCACGGGCGCGCCTTGCTGTCGGGTGAATAATCAACAGATTTGAAAAAAAAATCAGTCTTGGAAATACAGAAACACGAAACAAAAAAAAAAACTAAGGCAGAAGAACGTTACAGTGAACCACAGATTAAACTATTCAAGCAAAAATTCTAGAATCAATTTGATTTGATGTAAAATTTTTCAAGTTCTATTTGAGCATATAGCGCCCCTCCAGAAAACTTATTCTTTTTGTTATCTTTCCTTTTTAGCAGATGTTTTGCACAGTTTTTATGATATGTAGCATCAATTGATTATTACACTCTTTGTTGTGCGATTTTCAATTAGTTAACAATAGCGACAATTTAATTCTGATTGTAATGTCATTTTTTGCATTCAGCTAAAACGCTCACCTCAAATGCGCCTAGTTATGGAAATTTTAAGAACTAGTGAACCAGTAATCTAAAGTTGCTATTTGCAAGAGCATTCGCTTCGGGGCCGCCACGTGGTTTCATTGCAGATTTTTGAATTGCGCTTACGTTTCTTTATATACTAGATTTGCAGATTTTTGAATTGCGCTTACGTTTCTTTATATATTCGATTTTGTTTTGGTAATTCTGGACGAATTTGGATTCCGGACATTAGCTCCGCAATATGGAGGCGTGGCTTGGCGCTTGCCCAAGGACGCTTTACAATTGTTCTAACGCACATGTACATCGTCATCGTGCTAGGCAGCCCTTCAAAAGTGCAGATTTTTATAGCTGACTTCATTGCTCGAATATTTCTAGTTGAAATCTCTCTATCTGCCTGTCGATTTGCTTCATAACTGCCGTAACTCACCGAAATTGCTTCGTCGATAATGAAGACTGAGTCGGTTGCCTGGCTAAGCTAAAGCCACGAGAAATTATACGAAATCGCTTCTTTTAACTCGTAATAGGTTTGCAGCGTCGTTTGGCCTTGGGATGCAATTAAGATTTTGCCCCGTTTGGCTCTCTCCATTTTCTGCTGCCGCAGCGCGAACCGTAGCTAGCGCCACGGCCAGCTGCATTTCCGCTAACCGTCCATCATCCAGAATTCTCGCTATGAGATGGTAATTGTATAGTGCGTGTTTTATTCCTTGCACTCTATGCAGCGGCGCTATCCGGGGCCGACGGGGGACGCCCGTCACCCCCCGTCGAGGGGCTAGGGGTTCATAGACCGCGCGATGAGTCAGTCGCGGTCGCGCGAACGACGTCGACGTATGACCGAGTGTGTGTAACGTAGTGACATTTGGAATTGTGAGCAAGCGATTGTGTCTCAAGCTGATTCAGCCCCGGCGATGGGAAAGCGCTAGGCATCGCTTTTTCTTCCTTCTTTTTGTGCTGTTAATGGTAATTTTGGCATTGGCAGCATTTGCAAACGTTTGCAGAATGATTGAGTGTTTTGAACTTTTGCAAGAAAAACCTGTCCTTTCTTCGGACAAGTGTTTGCAACGAGCAAGGTTTTGTTCTTGTCCTTTGAAGTACTAATTGAGTAGAAAAATGTCTACACAAATTTCGTCTCTTTTTGTTAAACTTTCCTAAAATGGCTTTTATCAGTATCATAGGTAATGTTTTCTTGCGTAACATGGCGATCCGATGAGACAATGTTTTTAAGTATTCAAATTTTCAAGGATTAACAAATTACTCTGATTTCGGAGGAACACTGGACTATTTATTTTTAGAGTATCTTTTTAACACATTGCGCTCAATCTCGAGCTGGTTTAGAGCTGATTGAACTGGAATCATTGTTTTTCGCTGTTATACTCATGAATCATCTTTACATAGGACTTTTTTTTTCTTGAATTACGTTTTATACAGTGGCAGCGTCCACCCAAAACTTCGTCTTCCACGTTTTTGCCATTACGAGGTCTTTCCGTGGCCTTGATTGAAGTTCATAATGGGCAAGACCCCCAAAAACCCGATTTCGGGGAGCCCTCTCCGAAGGGACAGACGACCTCCACTACCTGGGTGGGCGGAACTTGATAGGGTGGGCGTGGATTGCAGCACTTTCGTAGGTCACAGGTCCATTCATATGCAATATTGGAGGATCGGACCAATGCAGATGCCCCCCTCTTGGGATCTAAATTCAGAATAGTCACTAATAGGAGGGACTTAGATCTTGCATCGCTGCTTTTGAATCAAGATTACATGTTTGCCCTCGAAAATAACTGAATTGTTGCAGGCAAATTTATACCTGACACAAAATGTGCGCGTCATATTTTGAATGCACATTCCCAGTTTTTCATTAGAATGTATGATGAGAAACCGTCTTTGACGATGTTGCACTTTTCCGAACTGAATCGATCAATCCCCTAGAGAAAACTTTACCAGTCGTTATTTGTACTTTCGTAATGGTACGTTTTGACTCGAATAGTTCAAGCAAATTTAATAAAATTTTCCTGCTCAAGCAATGTGGGTGTGAGGGGAGGGGAGGAGGTAGGACTATATTTTTCAGTTATACTATAATTTTTGTGCAATCTGAATGAAAAATGGACGATCTCCTAAGCATCTGCGTGTTGACTTTTGGTTATTTGATTCTTTCGGTAGGTTTGCGTGTTTAGATGACAGTCGTAAAAACTCATAGAGACGCTCAAATTGCCAGTAATCGTTCCCTTGGCGGCGTCATTGCTTTACTGCTCTTAAAGCATATGGAAGGTCAATCTGGCGCCGTTTATAAAGGGCTCTAGCAGCAATTTCATCATTTTTTCTTCATTTTTTTGTAATAAACAAAAATTGTGAGGAGACGAGGGGGGAGTTGAGGAAGTCCCCCTTATGTCCTGCCTGCATCTGCATACAAGCAATGGCTGCAAAACCCTTCTCGTAAAGATCTGCACTTTCAGCATATGTATCGCTTTTCCTAACCGTGGTTTTTACAGAAGATTATTGCGTCATTGTTTCAATCTCAGAATTGAAAAAGACTACGCTTTGAAAAATATCATGCAAAATGGTCTAAGGAGATAGAGGCAACATCCCATTTTTGTCGCTCTCAGATCATCAGAACCTTGCAAAAAGTCAAAATCTCAGGCTTATAGACTCTTTGGTCCTCTCTGAAGAGTGTTGCCAAATTAGCAGCTTTTTTACTCGATCTTACTTTTTACCAACTAGAAATTAAAATTTTTCTCAGCAAGAATTGGACTTACCTCACTTTTTCAATGCTGTCAGGCTTGCTGACTATGAGGTTTAATGCAGCTTATCAAATGTATCAAAAGTAACAATAAAATATTTGAAAATAGTATACCGGTGGGAAAATCATCAAGTTTCGTTTCTTTCCTGCCCTAGGAAGAGCTTTACATTTTCTCTGCCTCCCTCCAGTAAGGGAGGAATGTCTCTAACCTTGTTGTTTTGAGTATTTGGAAATGGGTTTGGAATATTTTGACTTGTATACTTCCAAATTGTTCAATTGTGCATCGTTGCGCATTGAATTATGACCAGTCCTGGACTCGACATTTGTTTTTTTTTTTGCATAAAGCTCAATTTGTGTTAGCTACTGTCAACACCTTCTTCAGAAGATGTAGCAAGTGTATCTATTCATACAATACTCTTAGATTCTGAGAGTTCGTTTAGCTTCAATCTCTATGCTTTCTTTTATGCTAGAACGGTCAATAGCTAACCGACTCCCCCCTTGTCCGAAACCGTTCCAAGTCTTCCATATAAGAACTCCTAAATAGCGCAATTAGACAACTTACTTGTAGTTATCGATTTATAACCTTCATTTCAAGAGTTCTCAGTCGGAGTTCTCACGAGTTTTGACGTTTTTCAACCTCCGAAATTCGAATCTCTCATGCCGTCTTCAAGGACATCAGTTATATGCGTATGTGTGCCTGTATGACTCCTCCGTTCGTTCGTTTGTGCAGCGATTTATTGTTATCTTTGTGTGTTTTCGAATGATTGTTCTGTAAGCACACATACGCGCGCGAGTACTGTAGTTTTAAACTAGTTTTTCGATTTTTTTCTGTTAATAATTTGTTTGTTTTAGCCTAAAGGCTCTGGACTTGGTGACATTGCGCGAACTCGCCAAACGGGTCAATGTGATACCAGTTATTGCAAAGTCCGACACAACATGCAAGGACGAACTGATCCGTTTCAAAAATAAGGTTAGTGGTTTTTGAAAATTTCCGTGTGTTCTAAGGAATGTGTGCACTTTTTTGCATAGCAGGAATCATATAGTTCTTTTTTTACTCTCTTCCATTAAAACATAATTTTGAATAGTACAGTGCATGCTAGGATCGTGCGTGCAGATGTTTGAAACCGCCTAATTTGTGCCCAGATGTGCCTTACGATCAGACATCGAAAAACTCATAAGGTGTCAATCAAAGGCCTGTCCTCAATCCTGCAATGATTGCAGCTTACAAATTAAATTGAATAACCCAGCGCATAGCCAACATGTCACGGATTATCTCATCTAAAGTACCTGTAGCCGTACCTGTGGACTTTATAAAGCATAAGAGGGATTTATTACAGATGATATGAGAGCTTCTTAAGAAAATTAAACGATTGCTCATAATTGTAATTAAGACAAAACACTTACCTACATTTCTCGACACTATCTCACTTTTTTATGAAGAACTTGAACTGGTTTTTTGGCAAAATTACGCGCAGGGGAGGGAAGGGGGTGGGGGGATTGTTCGATCATGAAAATCGTATACATTTTGCGCAGTAGCACAATTGGGTAGCATTATAGCAGGTGTACTGCGGGTACTCAGAAAATTGATTTTGACTCAGAAGTTGTAAATTTTGTTTTCTGTATGTCTGATTAAGGAGTCCGTCAAAGGACTTTCCTTGCGAGGCCCTATTGCAAGGACTCGGACATAGTTCACGCGATTTCAAACGCCGCGATCTGGCAACTTGCCAGATGTCTTCAAGTCATACACTGGCGGACTACAATTGCATAGTGTGTGTAACTTCGTCGAGAAAAGATGCCATATCTTCTGTACATCTAAAATAGGCTACAACGAGTTTTGGACATTTGGGGTATTGCCAAATCGCTTCGCGACTGAAATCGTGTGAACTATGCCCGAGCTCTAAGGCCTAAGGCCCCGGGCAGACTTCACGCGATTTGATCGTCGCGACTGAGTCGAGAGACAACTGTTACAACATCATTCCATGCCGATCAACTTGCATTGGTTGTGATACTTTTCCAGCCCGACATTTTTGAATGTGAAATGAAAATGAATGGAAATCTTGGCGATTAGATCGCGACGATTAAGTCGCGTGAAGTCTGACCGAGGCCTAAGGCATACCTCACGCGATTCGGCCGAATCGCCACTTTCACGCGACTTGGCGATTTGCCAGATTTCTATAAAGTTATCATGCGCACTTCTCGGACGCACATTTGGGTAGCTTGTGTAAGTTATTGCGAACAGAGCAAGTTCTGACCAAAGGCAGCTCATTAACGACGAATTACGAAGAGTCGCTGTTGTGCCAAATCGCGCAGCGACTGGAATCGCGCGAGGTATGCCTTAGGCCTAAGGCTTCAAAGATTCCCAGCTACAGCCGACATCCTATTCGTGATAAGCATTGAAAACCCCAACAGGGGCTTATTTTGGGGAAACAAGAATCTTACCATATCCATATACCGTACACTTACCGTGAAAACAGTGTGCATAACTAATTCAATTCATGACTAGCGTGCCAATCAGTCTCCAGGGCAAAGTTTTAGTAACTGGTTTGAGTTTGGGTAAATCGGTATCAAAGTCTTTTCACTAAACATTAATAGATATTTTCCCACAAGTGATGATCTTGTTTTATGCTATGAAGTTTTTTATAGTCATCGTTTTCAGATCATCAGCGAGCTCCGCAGTCACAAAATTGAAATCTATCAGTTTCCGACAGACGACGAAACTGTATGTTATAAGTTGTTCCAGCTTTTCAGCCTTGTAGAAGTTCGTGTTTAGGTAGCACAGGCAAACGCAGAAATGAACAATGCCGTTCCATTTGCTGTTGTTGGCAGCGTCGATTTCGTCAAGAAAGAGAATGGAATGCGCGTTAGAGCTAGAAGATATCCGTGGGGCATTGTAGAAGGTTTGTCTATTGGTTTTTGCATGATCTTCTCCATGAAGTTTTGATGAACTTCAGTGGAAAATGAGCAGCACTGCGATTTTGTGAAGTTGAGGGAAGCGCTTATTCGTACAAATGTGGATTCGCTTAGGGAAAGAACTCATAATGTATGCTTTGGTTTTTTTTTGTTTTATTTCGATGGCAATTTTATCGTTGACTTGACCAGGTATTGTACGAAAATTATCGGCGTGAACGACTTCGTGCTATGCATGTTGGAGACGGCGATACTGGACCAAAAATGGTGGAAATCTATACGATGGTCAGTTGGCAACTTTATTTGTTTTCAAAAATCGAAATGTACTGTTCAGAAGCAGAAAGAGTATAATGAAGAGTTTGCTCGTCGTGAAGTAAAAATACGAGAAGATTTCCAGAAAGCACTTGAAGCCAAAGAAGCCGAATTACGTGAAAAAGAGGAAGCGGTAAGATTTAAGCTACTCTAGCAATGCGATTATGAGCGGTACAAAATAAGATCAGCAAGCGAAAAAACTGATGCTGTGTGATGAGCAAGAGATTTATGTAAAAACTTTTGAAGGTTGGCTAGATAAACCCGGGAAATAGTTTGAATTTCTCTCGTTACTATTTCAATAGGAAATTTTTTGATTTTAAATCCAAATTCATGAGCAACAAGTGAAGTTAGGCGGCGACTTCAAATATCCAGCCTAGCATCTTCCCTTCACTAGCGTTCTGTAAAGCTAGATTTTCTGAAGCATAATCTTGGTGAATTTAAAAAGAAACCAGCTGGAAATCTATCATGGAGAAATCTTCGCTTATCAAAGACACCTATAACCCAAATTTGAGATTTTATGGTTTTGATGCGTTGCAGTAACGAGGCCTCTAGCTAAGTTGCCCAAGTTCTAGTGCAAAAAGTATGTTCTGAAGCGAGAAAATCGCCCTAGTAGGTGGATGCTGCCAGGGTCGCCAAGCCCATTCATGTGTGTGGCCTGGAGACAATAGTACGAATTGTCGAGAATCCGTCTTTTATTGTGAAGAACACATTTTCTACATCCAGGTAAAGTCCAGATTCCCGCTCAGTACTTCCAAATCACCCACTTTAATGGGTGTCGACCCCAGCAGCATCCGCCTTCTGGAGCTATTTTCTCGTCTTGAAATAAATTTTTTGCAGTGGAACACTGGCGACCACTTACACTTAGGGTCCTTGTTACTCAGGCTCCTCGCTACTGCACTGCATAAGGATCATACAAACCTTAGATTGAATAGTCGGTGTGTTCAAACTGCGCATGAGAACAAGGGGGAGAATCGAATAGTTCGAGATTCTTCAGATCCACCACAAACGTCAAAAAATAGCTTTTATGTTGCACTTCACTGCGAAATCATAAGACAGAGGTGTATTATTGGACTAGGCAATACAGTATTTTTTATTTATCAAGTGTAAGGCTATTCTCCCCTGTCAGGATTTAGGGCCGTATGTTAAAATAAATGAATAATTGCAGTTAAACGCTGAATAATTGCAGTTAAACGTACGTTCACGTGATGTGGAAGAGCAGGCAGCACAAGAACTTCGTCGTCTTGATCAAGAAATTCGCACTCTTCACGATGAACGCACTCGTCTTCTGGCAAAAGTCGCTAAAAAGCTGAAGAGGTGAATATGTGAAGCCTTCACGTGATCTCTAGATCGTCCCTCGGATAAATCGTTGTGTCCTAAGTTTGCTTATATTTCCTCCATGACCCCCTTCTTATTGTAATTTGAGCTTGTCTTTAAGACAACCATCCGCGATCAGCCCGCAAAAACCATGTTGCGACATTTGCCTACAGTAATCCCTACAGTAATCGAGCGTCATGTCGGAGCACTGATTTGAGCGATTCTATTAGTCAGTTGTCCGCATTCTTTCATTTCGTTCGTTTATATATTTCATTTGCAAAAATGTACAGACATGTTTTTCTGCACAATTCGGCAATCTCACTGCTTTTGATGTTGTTCCTCCAAACATTTGTCACAAATCATTTTCGCTTCAAAGAGCTCATCTCCAGATGTGAAAGTCAAGATCTACGGCCCATTCCAAAGGTGGCATATCAATGACATTTGCTCTCTTTCGACCATAACCTGATCTTGTTTTTTCTTGTTTACACCATCTTGCCTTCTTGCCTTTTTTATGTGTATTGTATGACTATCGATCGTTGATCTTGCCCTTTTGTCGAGTCAATCAAGCACACACCCTTCCACATCCGAGTTTCGGTCTAAGTCACTCGACCTCTAATCGATGTTTGTTCTCAGTCGAATGGCATATCACCTCGTAAATGACGAATTTGTCTCACTTAAAGTCGTTTCTTGACAGTTTTCCTTCAAAACTACTTATCTGGCCAGCATTTTACGCATTTATGTTTTTGGTGTTTTATTATCTACAAGCGCTATGGACCTTGGTAAAAGCTATTAAACTTTCTAGTTCACAGATGTTGTGCACTAAGGTCAAAACCTTGTTCAAGAATATTTCTGGAAGTGTGCGCATTCAACTTTGGAATTCTTGTCTTCTCATAATTGTAGAAAATTCACAAGCGTTGATAGCAAATTATATACACAAAAATGAATTCGTATTGAGATTGTGTGCGATAGAAACATAAACGCTGCTAATTGTTGGTAAGATATAGCGTTTAGCGAAGGGCAAATTGAGTCGTTACGACGAGAAATTCTGTTTGTGCTCCTTCCATTGTTTAAAAAAAAATTTACCTTAAGGAAACCTTTTTGAGTATGATTTGTGTTACTTTATTAAATTTTATTTTTTGCAGTGAGAGATGGAGGAAGGAGTGCAGAAACCAATTCACGCTCAAAATGAGTTTACTTTTGCCTTAGCAGCGAAAAAAGGTCTGACGTTGTTATAGATGTAACTAAATGAGAAAATAGTTTTTACGATAAAGCAGATATGACAGGATCAATTCTTTATATATTTTAACTAAGCATTTGTTGGAAAGAAAAATAAGAATAAACTGTTCCACTCTCCCTTCCTGGCTTTTCCCTTTCCTTTTTCTTCAGAAAAAAATTGTTAACATAGATTGATTGTTGACATAGAAAAAACGAATGCTAAAAAACTGATTCAAAAATGTCTTGAAACATAAGAATAAAAAAAAGACAGTTTCCGCCATTGCTTGCGATGCCATTTAAAGTTGATAACATCAGAGGTATTGAAGTTAGTATAATAATAGTAATAATAGAACTAATGAATTGAACATCAGAGGCAATAACGACGGGCAACATGGAGTGCTGATGGCCACGGGGAACCAATTTGATAGCCGCAATAACAACGGAGAGGAGATATTCTCAGAAACTCATGACAAGAACGCCAACGTTCATTACTTTATGTCTTCACTAACTGTTGCTTTGGGTTCAGTGAGTAAGCGTATCTATGAGGCCGCGTCATGTTCACGTTGTCCTCGTTTCAATTGAAAATAACTACTGAACGTCTTTCGATTAGCAACTGAAGGTGCATTGTGCTAATAACTTTTATTCAAAAAGTTTCGTAATGCTTGTTTTATCCCAGGAATTGCAGTGCTGTTCACAGTTTTCTGATTGTTCCATTTGAACTAGTTCATTTTTTTATGTTGAGAATGGATTATCACTCTACTTAGCTGTTTATTCTGGAAGACTAGGGCTGCAGCTTCACTTATTCTATGATCCGGGATCCGTCGCTAAACTGCGAACAACTACGATCAAAAATTTGCAATTGAAGCAAAGCTCAGAAGATGTTTTTTTTTCGGATTTTTAGGCATTGGCACCATTATAATATTCTAAACATTTATGTGGATGCATAAGTTCCCTAACTTGTATCAAACATTTATCCGCGCGCAGTTTAGTGCCATCCAAATCGGATCCGGGTCACAAGATAAGAACAGCCGTATCACAGTGAGTGTAATTACTGTAGCATAATAGATGACTGTTTTATGTGGTTCTGCTTACACTGACAACACTTTTGCAAAAAAAAATGCCATGCAGGCTGCTTGCACCCCGACCATCGGACGCAATTTTCCAGTGCGCCAATGGCTATTTTTTATGCGCAAATTTCCTCAACAACGCAGGAACACTATATCAATCATCATACTCTCGATTGTGGTATGAATGTTGCTGTGATGTGAAATTTACGGTGCTGTGCTAATTTTATGGCCAATGTTTGAATTGTTTTATGGATTTTACCCATCTCATATTTTTGTTTGAGTGGCACGATGTAGCAAACAAATAAAAGCTTTGCCCCTGCCTCGCCCTCAATCAGGTGATTTTTATAAACCGAGTTCGCAGTTAAATGCATTGATGCAACACCATTTTCTGTTGCTAATTCGGCTACTTTTATGAAAGTTTATGAGTCCCACTGAATCCCATATCAATCCAATTCGTTTACATACATCCATTTTGGTTTCAACGAGACGTTGTGAATCTGCGAGAGGAGCTCTCTACACTTCGTTGAAAATGCTCTAAAAAGGCTGACGAATAAACTACAATTTTCGGTGTAAGGCCTCCCCAGATTCCCATAAGATCTATTTTTCGCTCTTCCTTACGTCACTTTTTTTGGTGATTCTTCCTAATGAAAAAGTTGCTGTTCACACAATGGGCGCAGTTAAATGCAGTAGATCGGCAGAATGAGACCCGTGACAAAACAAGGTCCCAGGGTAAGAGCCCCCTATGGAACCTATCAAAAAATCAATAAGTTAAACAACGAGTTTTTTCTTAGAACTTTGATTATCAGTCGTCTTTTCGTTTTCCTCTCACTACCCGTGAATCTTATATATAAAGCTGAATGTCTGTTTGTCTGTCTGTCTGTCTGTACAGTGCTGGCCATAGCTATAAAGCCACCCTAAAAATCACTGTAATTTGCTCTCTCTTGCTCAAAATTGTCTAAAAAACCGCTATTCTGTGTGCAAACTAGAGTCGTATCATTGACCAGAACGGCTCCCGATTTCACTGATTTTGGCCGGAGAAAAACTGAAAATTTGAAAAAAGGGGTTCCCAGGGCTGGTCACAGCTATAAAGCCACCTCTCATTTCCAATCAATACTACGTTTTTTGAGGCTGAAATTTTTTGTACATACACAATATCAAAATATAAAACACAAACCACAATTGGGAGCAGTCGCCTTTTCAAAAAGGAGATTCATCCTGCATTTTCTGCTCCAAAATGTATAAAAAGTTATAATATTTGGAAAAACTGCCTTTTCACCGAATTCTCAAGCATTTCTTTAAATCGAATGAAAGTCCTAGGCTTCGCCGAGCCTTTGCAATGAATATTGTGAAAAGCGCAGGAGTCAACATGGCGTAGTCGCTGGTAATGATATACGAAGCTCAATCTTACCTAGGTATAAATGCACTTCTGAAACGCAAATCTCGATTTCTGACGCGCGAAAATTTTCAGTTGGAAGTTGACACCTTGTTTACATGGTGACGTACTCATGCAGAAACTGTCAGGCTTTTCAGGAAGACGTATTTGCAGCATTAAACTTAGAACGCCTGGTCTGCAGTTCGGTTGTGAGCAGTGTATCTCGCATGACCTCAAATTTTACTGCTTTGAACTTTTTTTCAAGTCAAAATTTACAAAACTGTCAGGAATATTAGAATTTTGAAGTCTGAGCGGTTTTCCGCTCGATCGAGAAGTCAGAGGGTGTCATGATCAAGCAGAGTGCACCACTCATTTTTAGAAAAAAGGCGTTCAAGGCGGAACCAAAGCTCTGAGAGTTGCGATGACGTTCAAGCTATGCGCACGAGTCTATCGTTGTATAGGAGACGTGCTGAGCATGTGACAGAGCTTTTCGGGCATTAGAACACAATTTCCGCGGCTCGAAAACTCGTCTACCTGGAGGTAAGGTTGGAGCTCGTTTACCAATACCAGCGACTACGCCATGTTGACTCCTGCGCTTTTCACAATATTCATTGCAAAGGCTTGGCGAAGCCAAGGACCTTCATTCGATTTAAAGAAATGCTTGAAAATTCGGTGAAAAGGCAGTTTTTCAAATATTATAACTTTTTATAGATTTTGGAGCAGAAAATGCAGGATGAATCTCCTTTTTGAAAAGGCGACTGCTTCCAATTGTGGTTTGTGTTTTATATTTGTTATTGTATATGTACAAAAAATTTCAGCCTCAAAAAACGTAGTATTGATTGGAAATGAGAGGTGGCTTTATAGCTGTGACCAGCCCTGGGAACCCCTTTTTTCAAATTTTCAGTTTTTCTCCGGCCAAAATTAATGAAATCGGGAGCCGTTCTGGTCAATGATATGACTCTAGTTTGCACACAGAATAGTGGTTTTTTAGACAATTTTGAGCAAGAAAGAGCAAATTACAGTGATTTTCAGGGTGGCTTTATAGCTATGGCCAGCACTGTATGTATGTCTGTACGTATGTTCCGAATAGAAAATTCCATTTCTAAACCGATCGGGACCAAACTTGGCACACATACACTTCGGGCCCCGGCGGGTGTCATAGGCTACTTTTTGTCATCGATCGATATCGATTTTATCGATTTTTTGCAAAATTTGAGCTACGGGGCTGGGAGTTGGCACAGGGGGTAAGTGAGCATGGGGATTCCGAATACAATATTAGTTTTTAAAATCGTGCATTACTTTTATCGATTTTATCGATTTTTTGCAAAGTTTGAGCTACGGGGCTGGGATTTAGCACAGGGGGGTAATCGAGCATGCTGATCACTCCCGTGGGGGTGATCAGCATGCTCGATTACACCCCTCTGCCAAATTCCAGCCCCGTAGCTCAAATTTTGCAAAAAATCGATAAAATCGACATCGATCGATAACGAAAAGTGGACTGTGACACCCGCCGGGACCCGACGTGTATGTGTGCCAAGTTTGGTCCGGATCGGTTAAGAAATGGAATTTTCTATTCGGAACATACGGCGGAGCCGGGTAAGCCAGCTAGTTCCTTATATGATCAGATCCTTGGGAGTGCAAGTTACGGGTAATGGTACAGTTTAAGTCTTCTCTGGTTGGTAAGATGATTCACGATTAATTGTAAATGCATTGAATTTGTTGGGGTCAACTTCCTATACCTGACATAGAGCTCACAGCTTTGATACTACGTAGTTGAGCGCAGAAGGAACGGTCTAGAATGGGGCAGCCGTCATTACACAGCTTTTTGCAATCCATTGTGACGTACGAATGTGCAACGAACAAATGTGACTGTTGTCAAGTGGCGCTTCGTTCCGTGCGATTTTTTTAACCATTTTTTTGTTTCAGGTTCTTTCAAATACATAATTCTTTTGTCATTGCGTTAGCAAACCACACTACACCTTTGCACAGATGTTGTAGAATCAAATGGGATACGGGAATAGAAGACGATGATAAAAGGTTGCAAAGAGGCGAAAGCTTCATTGGAACAGTTACCAATCACAGATGAGATCCGGTACGCGGCAAACGTTGAGGGATACGTTAGCCGTGGAGCGCGCCAGCGCAATCATTGGCCGTAGTTGGCAAGACAGCTAAAGTTGGCCGGGGTGGGGGGATTTTTCAGGTGTACTTCGAAGGGATTTCCCCATGTAGATTTTTGCCTGATCCGGAGGGAAAAAACAAAAACGAACATTTGTTCCAAAGTTGTCTTTCTTTGGAAAAATGTTGAGAAACCAGATGCAATCGAGTGACTCTCTCAATGTACTTACGTGCTTTTGCTGTTGTTTGCGTTTTGTAGTTGTTCCTTGCTAGTTATTTGTATGGTATGTATCCTGATGTATTAACATAATAGAATATCTTGCCGTTAACATTTCCTTGTAATGAGCTGGCTGGCTATCTGCTGTATAAAACTGATCACCCACTAGTATTAGTAGAAGACTCTTCAAATAAAAAAGTAGCACCCAGTTTTGCTCGGAAATCAGCAGAGCACATGATGGCTGCCCACAAAGGGATAGATACGGCTTGCAAATTCATAGTTAGGAGAATATTTCGACACTGGCACTAAAAATAGAATTCCTATGCGTTTCTGTAAAGTTTCGAAAGTTTAGCAGTTCTACACTTAGGATGAACGGATACGATAAGGGTTATTATGTTCAACAAAACACTAGCAATTTATGCGAAAAGTCAATGCAGATATTTAGATTTCTTCAAATGGCAGATAATCCCCAAACGAGTTGGTTTCGTTTGAACAGACTAGACTTCACTCAAATCGACATTGAATTCAACTTTCTCAAGATAAAGGTTTAACAAAATATTTTTCGCAGGGAGAGAGTGTCAAGCGTGGTTTCTGTACCACAGAAACAGAACACAAACAGACAAAATACTTCAGAACCGATACAGTGTCACACTCATTTCGTCAGCGGAACTATCAGTAGCGGTAGGTTGAATGAAAGCTCCACTCTTACCAAAATTTCGTGAAACCTACTTGCCTTATGCGGCCAATACAAAAACACTATCAGATTAATCCTGTATGTGAGAGGAATTGATCATGAGGATTCAATTCAGGCCGTCAAGTCACTGGCACAAACTTTGTTTGTGCGTTACCAGCGTCAAAATATGAATAGGCAAAATCTTCTAACTTCTAACAACACTTCCTGCATACGTCCGAACGATACTCAATTCTGCATTAATCATCATCTGCAAAATTTCAGCATCAGTATTAGGAAGCAAACGCGAAAGTATTCAAGGCAACATTCCTATAGATCTACTTCCGCATACTGGTTAAAGCTGTACTTGAAGTTCAACAGAAAAAGCAGTTTGAAAGAGAGCGCACATGCTCACAAAATTCAAGATAACTAGATTTTTCAAGTCAGCGGAACTGTTGAAAATGATAAACATTGCAACCATCTGTTGCACGCATCATGCAAACCCGACATCTTTATTTTTTTGAAGCTAGTCATGGGAAATATGAAGTCCACATTCTTCAAAGTTCTGTTCTCACTAGATTGAGCAAAAAAGATGAAAGATCTTCGAAACACTTGCCTTCCATAAATGAAAATCAAAAGTTACGCACGAATTTGGCTTAGAAACGACGAAAATGAGATTTTATCGACCAAGAAACATCAGAACGATGTTAGAGAACAAAAACATGTGAAAATTGGGCCAACTTTAGCTGTCTTGCCAACTACGGCCAATGATTGCGCTGGCGCGCTCCACGGCTAACGTATCCCTCAACGTTTGCCGCGTACCGGATCTCATCACAGATACGAAATCAACCTTCAAAACGGAACTCTTGCTGCTCATTCATACCGCAAATCCAAAAGTCAGTTGTTATAGCTCCCGAGAATCTACGACTCATTTCGCTAAAATCTGATTATTCCATCTGTTTTGACAAGAAACGCATCTGTGTACGAGCTAACTTTGATGATAAGAAACGAATTTTCTTCGTTTTGAGCCTCGAGGTGGACATGCGGGACAGCTTACCAAAAACGTTGACTTTTTAGCATCGATAGCACTATTCATTCTTATGAAAATAGAAACCAACTTTTAGAAACGTATATTATGTTCGCTACAATTCGCTGGAACTCGATCTCCACCTGCCGTGAACGTTACTACCCTTCCGTATGCTTCAGTACATTATAATCGGCACCCACAACTACATCCACATGTATGAGAGAAATGGCAAACTCCGCCCTGCTGCCTGAACTCCTTCCACGTACACGAACATATATAACTATGCATTTATCGGAATCTAGGCAACATTCTCACTGCGTACTCCACGCTCTCACTAGCAACTCTTGCGTGGAGATAATAAAGAACTCTTATCAGACTGATAAACTTCTCGTTCGAGCGCTTCGGAGTTTTTATGGATGTTCTTTGCGCCTTCGGAAACCGACTTTTTCAGGTCTTCTAGATGTGGCGGCACGGGGTTTTCATATGTTCTCGGGTTAGTATTTGGCCTTCCACAAGTTCGGCATTTGCGCACACTACAGCTTCGCAGTACGGGTTACCTAAAGTGGGTTGATTTTTTCTTTTTTAGAAATGTTTCATCCATCGTTTGACACTTGCGAGTCTGACTGACCCTGACTTTTTAGGCAAAACCACATGAAGATGAGATGCCGATACCAGTACATGAAAGGCGGCCTCCACAACAAATACTCGAACTTGGGAAAAGGAAAACAAAGAAAAAACAGATCAACTTAATAGGTAACATGCTGCTTTTTTTTCTTCTTTCTTGTTTCTTTCTACTTTCCAATAGATTGACTTCAGTTCCTCAGAGATCTTTGGATTTGTGGACTAAAATGGAGTCAAGAGGATTACTGTCTGCTTATTTACAACTTTCGAAGTCACGGCTTACTATGCTTATCACCTCCACAGGTTGGTAAACACGACTTCTCGCAATTGATAATATCAGCTTTTTCGTAAATGCTACAGCATTAGCAGCTTTCAGCAGTTGCGGGCTTCCTCATGGCTCCCGTAAGTTTCTCGGCCTTACCACTTGTGGCTTGTGCAACAGGTGGGCGATACTCTTTTTATCTAACTTATCATTTTGTTGAAAACCTCGACTTTCCTTTCCAGGCACTGCTCTTTTGTCATCAGCAGCAAATGCCTGTAATCAACTTTTGGAAGCACCCTATGATGCTCAGATGAAGCGAACGCAAAATAGAGTGTTGGTAATCCATCGGTATGCTCACTCGGTTTTTTATTTTCTCAAAGTCATGTTTAGTAAAAGCTTTTTCATAGGTTTTCTCCCCTCCATGCGCTGTCATTCGCAGGCATAACTGCTACAACTGGCATAGCCGCATTATGCACGCTTGCGAACCCTATAGCCGCTGCTCTGGGTGCTTTGAATTTGGTGATCTATGCTGGAATTTACACCCCTCTGAAAAGGTCTCATATTGCTTGTACATGGGCTGGAGCTGTCGTGAGTATTTTTTGGTTCGTATTTGGCGGTGTGTTGGCTTTTTCAGATACTTACAAGCTTTTGTTTCCGTTTTACTATGTTGAATTTCCTCCTGTTCTTGCTTTGAGCAGCTACATTACTAACATAATTTGTCCATGATTTTTTGCTTCGAAGTAATCTTGCTTTAGGTCGGTGCAATCCCACCGCTTATGGGCTACGCTGCTGCGACAGGCACTTTGGATGCTCCGGCATTGTGCTTAGCTGCTATTTTGTATTCATGGCAATTTCCTCACTTCAACGGGTTGTCTTGGAATCTCAGAGGAGATTACAGCAAGGTGATCTAGTTGCTAAGGATGTACTGGTAGTGTAAATATCTTTTCTTTTACTTCGTCGTATAGTGTAACTCCAATCATGCCTTTTTTGTAAATTTTTGGCACAAATGTGTGCAAACCAGGGCCCCAGTACAGATGGTGTAGAAGCAGCTGAACTTCGTTTTTAGGGCGAAAATGCAAAGGGGATAATGTTTTCGTGGCCAACATTTCGTTTTTTGAGGTTTTCTTACGTTCAAAGTGGGAGTTAAAGGGGACTCGTAAAATTTTGCAGAAGTCGGGGGAAGGGAGGACTTCGTTTTCAAGAAGCCTAGAAACGAACTCATGTTGGGCCCTGGTGCAAGCACTTCGAATCTTGTCTCTGTTTTAGCACCATTGTATTTTTTTTATCAAATCCCTACATCAAAAGAACCGCAGTACTGCTACGATCCAAATAGCTTTCGCGCTGATATATCGGACTGGCGCGGATGCGTGTTGCGATTAAAGGCACCGTCCACCCTAAGTTGAGGGTGTTGAGCTTTTGGCAGCATATAATAGTGAGGCCCCCTATCAATCCAATGCCCAAGTCGCGGCGCAAAATGCCGCTTCGGAAGCGAGAAAATCGCTTCGGAATAGCGAAGATGCGCGAGGACCCCCATCCATGCCCGCCCTTCCCCATCCATGCCCGCCCATTTGTGCGCGCCCATCCAATCACTGTTCTGGAAAGCCGGCCTGTGGGTTCTCCGGAACGGGGATTATTGGGGTTTGCGCGCATTCGCGACTTCATATTCGGAAACAGGGACATGAGAAGGCCCTGAAACGACAAAAACGTGAAAGTTGAAAATCTGGGTAGATGGTGCCTTTAAGCAGGCTACAGTTTCAGCCAAAATGGCAAGAATTTTTGTATAGAGATACTCTTATGACTATTTTCAACGATGCAAATCTTACGTAATTAGAACGCTGTAATGTTATAGCACTTATTGACAGTAAGATTTTAATTCTTATCTCTGTGGCTTTTCTTGTTTACAGAGTTCAGTTTGTCAATACATCCCTTCGGTTTTTCGTCTTTCCATTCTGCATACAGCCAATTAGACCTCTCCATGGTTGACATATCAGAATCTTCCTCGCCCCAGCGCTATTCATCTCTTACATGGATATCTTGTAATTATAGGCTGGCTATCGTGTCATGTGTGTCACTAATGAGCGGCTCTGCCGAGTGACATCAATTCGACATAGCTTAGCTTTGGTTGGATTATGCTCTGTGGCGGCACCGCTCACGAACCTGACAACCATAACGTTTGCTCTAGGTAAAGTCTAGAGATGCATTCTAAAATGTCATAATTTCTGCTCTCCAGATTCTCTACCAGTTAATGCGTACCTGTGCTGGCTGGCTTACAAATTTTACAAAGCACCTGATGCACAAAATTCTAGGCGGTTGTTTTTCTACACGTAAGTTGCCTAGTGTTGCCTTCTCGGGAAAAAGGTTTTGACATAGTTCTTATATCTTTCAGTCTGTTCTACCTTCCCGTAATTATGACATTAATGGTGGTGAGCAAATTTGGACGAAGTGATGCGCAGAAGAAGTCCGCCTCCAAAGAGCTGCAGCCAGTCTCTGAGCTGGCTAAGTCATGAAGCTAAGCTTCAACTTCATAAGTTGTCTTAGCTTGGTATGACCTACCATAGTTTATAAATTCTCTTTTCTAAATTCAATTGCAAATGAGGAAATTGAGGGTTGTATATAAAACAGAAGTCTTCTCAATGAGAACCAATGTCGTTTAGTTCCAATCCGAGTCTGAATCAAGAAGCACCTTTAATTCTGTTATCACCAGATCGCACCTTGTTATCTATCTCGGCTATATTTCTATGTTTCTCATTTTTCCATAAGAGATGAAAAGTATGGTTGTTGCATTCGTTCTTTCGGATGAAATTCCCATTATTTTTTATGAACCTCTTTTCTCCACCTCCTTACATAATGCTCCTAACCTCACTAACATCGCTAATCTCACACCTATGCAGTTATAGGTTTCGATCGAATTAGCATATTTTATACCATCCGGTGATCTTCCACGAGATCCCTACCTCGTTTATGTTTACAGCTCGTTATTGGTGCTATCAGCATCGAGCTTACGATAGGACTATATTGTTATTACAAACTGCCAAAAGACCTTCATATTGCTTGATTTTGAAGCAAGTCATCAGTCATCCATTAAAAGTTGTACAAATTTTTTACAAGTCTTTATCCTTTATGTCATTGTTTTTTTGTATGTTTTTTTATGAAAATCCGTCTTAGATGTTGTGTATGTTAGGAATCTTATAGGCATGCTGAGTAGTTTCTCGCTCTGTATCTTCTTGTTAATTTCTTCTTTCATTGCACTCGTTTGCTTGTTTAATCCATCCGTTTTAGAGGTTTGCTTTGAGCTCAGTTAGCTAGTTGTTAGGATGTTTGTTGTTATTATCACGTTAAAAATATTTCTGGAAGTTTTAGGGAGCACCCTGTTTTATTGATGAAGACAATAAAGAACTATGAAATTGTGGAGTTTGGTGTGGCCGCTGTGGTTCATTCCTTCTTGAATATGGATAATTATGCAATGAATTTCTATCTATTTTCTTTTCAATCCAAATAGCCCGATGGGGCCCAGACTTCCACTCTTCTTCCCATTATTCGTATTTCTCTTTCGCTGTTTTTCTCTCTTTTCTTTTTGTTTTGGTATCACATTTATCGAAATGTTTCATTTTCGGGTTTACTCTTCTACGCCATGGAATTTTTACCCTATCATTAGTGTTTAACATTCGGGCAGTATATTTTTCCGAGTATCTGAGGTTCAAATGCATTCTCTTTATTGTTGTTCGTTGCGGGTTCTCACAACGCGTCTGACGACGGACAGCGCATTTTTTTCGTTCCATGCAGTGTTTTTTCTATGACTGCGTCCACGTTAGCTACTGTTCAGTGTCCAAAGATATCTAAAGCGGAAATGATGTTGAAATAAAGTCATAGAATTTCACAAGGTGAAGTTCTTATCAGCTGGTCTTTTCTGCCCTTCGCACGTGATTTTCTCATTGCCAACTTCGTAATGTAATCATAATCTTCTAGATACCACAATGGCGAAAGAGAAGCTGTTGACACTTTGCACACCACCAATAGTGTTTTCAGCTTTTGCTCAAGTTCCTTTGTTGCTGAGCGGCAATTCAGGCTTTGATCAATATGATTTTCTATAGCAAAGCTGCTGCTGGATTGCAAAGCGTTCGTCATTCTTCTTTACTGTAATCGCCTCGAATATTGCCTTCATCTTGAGAGGGTAGAAGTTCCCTGAACTTTCGCTCCATCTGATCACGTTTATGTTGCCGTTTTTTGCTCTATCTTACCGGCTGGAATGAATACTATTTTGCTTTTGCGTCTATTTCTGCTATGAAACTCCTCATCAGTTCTTAGATTCTATACTCACCAAACCTTTTCTCAATTATTGGCTTGATATTATCGCTCATGTGACGGAAATCTTGAAATTGAGACATATCGCCCTCAGCTGTTTTCCTTCTTCCACTCTCCTTCACCCTCATTTCTTTTACCTCAAAGCACATGATCAACTCATGATATTTTTGGCTGTACTTCTTTTTTTTTATCGGAGGGACTAATCCAGTTACTTTTATGGAATACATGACAGATCTGACAGATCTTGTTTATACGTTGCTATCTGAGTGTCAATCCAGCAGCTTTCCCACATTCTATCTTACTTTTTCACGCTTGTGATTTTCTTATGTGCTTTACTGCATATAATATTATCGGCATTGAAAGTATTCAACACCATTCCATTGTTGACTGTTTACATCTCTTTTGAGCCGTGACTAATCTGCATGAATGTACTTTACCTGCAGCTGACTTGCTTACTGCTCAACGCCATTTCACAATTTCTTGCTTTTTTAAAGGGACGTTGCGATATTCTTTCATATTTCAATATCTATATCTTTCTGTTGCTTTTTTCCTTATTTCGGCGTTGTTACAGCCGGAGTCTTTTCAAAAATCCGAACATGCATACAAATATGGTATGATAGTTTACATAGTTGCTACCCACATTTCGATCGTTTGTGACGCTCAGGAATAGAGCTGGAAACAAATGCATAAATTTTTTTCCTTTTGTTACGCTTATTTCATATTCTTCAAATTTCTTAGCAACATTAAAAAACTTGATAATTCTCGACCATCCTTAGTGTTTTTACAAATGCGATGACAAATCATTAGGACCGTAGTTATGTTACTACGCGCTGTCACAATAGTCCGTCTGGAAGACTTCGAAAGAAAAGCAGTTAGGAAGCAGCCACGTATCTCAAAATTCTGATTGATCTACTTTTCGTTTTTGTGAAATTTACAGCGAAAGTCCAGATCAGGGCCAGCGCGAGGTGGCGTTTATGAACAAAACGAAGTCCTCCATGACATCGCAAATTACGAGTCACCCTTTGTAGGGTTATAAAAGTCCTTTTAATACTCTGCAACAAAATGGGGACTCAAATGGAAAAGAGACAAGAAAAAATCAAAAATTAGGAAGCGAAAAGAGGCTGTTTTTATATTAGGTTGTCCCGAAAGTTTTGTCAGTTTTTTCAAACCGTTGTGAAACCACGCACATTAAAGACATGAGTGAATTTCAACACGCATGATGCAGCTTTTCCTTCTCTTTCTTATGGTTACATTCTCATACCACAATCTTGTATGCTTTATTTGATAATTGCCAAAATTCTCCACCCGTCATTTTTATCTGCTCAAAATAAGACTAATTTTTAAAAATTTCATTCCAAAGTTTCGAAAAGGGTTAAGCATGGATAAAATAGAGCAAGTCTCGGACTACAAAGTAGTGTTTTTAGATTCTCCTAATCTGTTATTTTTAGCTTCAAGAAATTATTTCTCTGGAGGTCTCCAGCTTTGGCAAAGTCATGAAACACGCAACTGTATCAAGTACACGAAAGCTTTCATAGTTTCTGCGTATTGAATGATTCTTATTAAACATTATTTATGCAACATAACCGACTTTGATTCGCCTTGCAGCTTTTTAGATTTTTTGGTATTTTTACCTGCTAAACTTAATCAAATAGCCGCGGTTTTTATTAAATAAATGATGATAACGAACTTGGTAAACGCGGCTCATTCAATCTAAAATGGAGACAATGTAGCCAAAGGTTTGCTCTACATAACAGTAACCCACTCTTTGGAAACTTCAGAATAAAAATTCTAACATTCAGGAAAATTTCGCGTTACCGCTGAGCTGCTCAAAAAGCCATAGCGATAACATTGCAAAGACAGAGTAGATCAGAGAGCAAGTATAACTGTAAGAAAGAGGATAAAAATCTGAATCGAATGGTACCTAAGCCGCCCATGGATAGGTGTTCTATGAGTTTCAGTGAGCGACGAAAGAAACCGACAAAATTTTCGGGACAACCTAATATCATTAAGAGCCGTAACAAAGCATAGGGGACGAAACATGGGCTAAGATGAACGCTCATAAGTAGAGCTTGATCCAGAATAGATTTATGTAAAAAAATTCAAAACTTTATGTAAATAAGAGAGAGGATTGTGATTGTGAAGATTCATGACTTTGTCTGGTCCGCGCAACCTCAGCGTGCTCCAGGTTACGCGGGAGCAACCTAAAACCGAAAAACGCCTACAACTCCTCCCGTTCACATGATTTTTTCATAAATTTTCGTACTTTTTTTTGATCATCGAGCGCCACCCTTTGATGAGCTCTGGTGCAAATCTCTTGATCAACAAAAAACCCAAAAGAAGCAAATTTCTGCTGAACAAGCTCTCCTCTAGGTGTATCCGAGACCGATGTCTTAGGTAAATATTCAGGAAGTGAATGAGCACTCAAGTGTATATCTGCTTGTTCGTTTTTTCTACACACACAATCAGACATAGCATGTGATGGAGAGAACTCATTCAGTCCGTCGACTGAGTGGTGAATTGTCGTCTTGGACATAACGGCTAATCGTTCTTTTATAACTCTTGTCGTAGATTATTCGCTGTGGGATTTGTTAGTAGAACTCCATTTCATGAAGGAATCGACATAGTTTTGGTTGCTGGAATCAAACCTATGAACATTACATAATAGACGTTAGCTCAGTTTTTGAAAGTGGATTACCGATGTTTAAACATGTTTGAGCAAAGGCCTACAGTGACTTTAATCAGCTTACTATAATGCTAACCTTCATTCTCAGAAATTAGCTAGTTCCATGATATCATATGACGAGTAATTAATATAAGTTCTAAGAAATGCTATGCTTTGAAGGGTTTTTGTGAAATGTCACATTTTTTTCTGGCAGTCATCTTTCTATGTCGAGCCCTAATCTCCGCGTAGAGTCATCTTCTATATCGCAACTTTACTTTATTTCGTGAGTGAAGTTCAAAGTGAGTCGATTGTCATTGTTGTTTTCTTTCTCACCTCACTCGTTTGGTTTCAGTTCAGTTTGGTTTCAGTTTCAAGTCAGAACAGTTCCATTACTGACTGACTAGGTAGTGAAAACTGAAAATCTTCTTTTTTACCACTCTCTTTTTACAGATCTTTTACACTTTCATATCGAGAGTTATCGAAAAATTTTTGAAATGCTTAGGCTTTTCACAAGGTCATCATAATGAATTTCTTTTTTTACATTTTACGGTGTTTGAAAAGTAGGATGGGGGAGCTTCCGAATCTGCTCGGGAATTCTCCTAACAGCATAGATCACAGAGTGTTTAACAAATCAGGAAATATCACTGATTTCGCATCATTGTTATTTTCAATGTTTTCTTTGATCATTATCATACGGGCTTTGCACAGCTGACACCGGGTTAAGCTGCATATCGTTTTTGGAAAAAAAAAGCAAAGAGATATCGTTTTTGCGGTCGAAAAGACTCAAAATCGCAATTTTTGGTCGACTTAT